ATATTGGTCCATAAATAGTTCTCAAAAGTTACCATTCATAATTCTCTTTGGAATATAACAGTTATGATAACATTAAACCATATGAACCTTGATTGAAATGATATTATAATAACATTTTATATTTTTTTGCAATTCCAATCTGGCCTCATATGTATCAATCACAAATAGATAAATAACCTCTGAGCCAAATTTAAAAAAACGTAGTTTTGGTGTGTTTGCGTAAGGTTGTCATCTTCAATGAGACTTTTGTTTTAAATACATTAATTAATCCTTCTAAGGGTCCGTATAATTTCTCCTCATAAGTTTAACATATAAATCTGACAATTAGCATTGTAGACTTAATTCAATTACTTAATTGTTTTTAAGTTCTCTTTATTTACTATCAAACATACAGAGTGATATACAGAGCAACCATATCTATAATGTTTATAGTGACAAAAGTGTTTTTTTACACATGTTGATCATGCCTACTTATTATGACATTCAAAAGTAGTGTAAATAGGGGTTGATTAAGAAACCACTGAAAAATTTAAGTATAGTTGTCCATACGAAATATTAATGACTTTACGTGTTTATTGTTAGCCAAAAACTAGAGTATTCTAAGCATAGAATCTCATCATTAAATGATTGTTAAAACAAAAATAAACTTAATTAAAATCTTTATCCATTGTTCTCATTTGTTATTACAAAGATTAGAGTAGTTCTAAAATCTTAATTTCATATTTGTAACTAAAAGAAACAATAAAAAAGGAATAATAATTAATGGAGAAGAAGAGAATGAAAAAGTGAATTGAAGGAATAATATCTCATAAAAATAATTTCAGGAAATTGGTGCAAACCGGATGTAGAAACTTGTTTTAGTAAATATAAACAAAAGAGAATTGTTATAGTACGAAAAACTTTTCTTGGTAATGTGTATACACAGTCAATCATGCAAATTGCATAAATCAAATAGATCACTATATCAACAGAATGAATATGACTATTTATTAATTAAGAAGTAGATTTCTTATTCTTGAAAACATTAATTTTAAATGGAGTATTAACTAGTACAATATTGGACTTTGACATGATAGTGTTAATGACCTTCATTTTAAGAATAAATGTCTGGAATAATGACTATAAGGAGGTTTAGTAGATTTCTCATTTCAGTCCAACTTTAATAAACCTATTAACAACCGCTTTAAATAGCATTCACACAATGATCTGTGATTTGAAGATAACTATAAATCGAGATAACTTTTAAAATGCAACAATACTAGCATAGCGAAAGCCGGTCAAATAGAGTTACAGTTAGCTGTCACAACGAATAGACAGAATTCTACATTTGTAACTATTCAAATGTCACTACTAATCACTGTGAAGAAAAATTACATATAAAGAGTGGTATTTCCCCATAAGTTATATATTCTTCAAAGTCTAAGGTTGAGTTATATCTTAGTCATTAGGGGCTGGATAGGGAGTATTGAAGGCGTAATAGTGTAGACTGCTTGGGGTAACTTTTGCTAACATAGTGCACAGAAGGTTATAATAAGCGTCTTGTGAAATAATCATTTGAATTCTACTCTTGGTTGTTTAGTAAATTTTGTTTATTTACTAATCATCAAAATGAAGTTTTTTGTGCTTACTTACAATTATCTTATAAAAAATTAGTTCCAAGAAAAAGAATTTCAGGGAAATGTGAATAAAATTTCAAAAATTATACTGTATTGATGATGTAATCATATAAACGCTTTTCGAAAAGATTCCAATAATGAGATCTGTAGAGAACTAATTAACTTGAAGAAACTATTTCAGAATGTTATAAAAAGCAAATTAAAAGTATACAGAGTATTTAAGCGTTATTTATTTCGTATATGATATTCTTAATCAGTTGGTGTCACCTATTTTCCCCGTACTGTGTCATTCACAAGTAATTCTACTGTGTTCAGTATTAGTGATATTTTATTAACTCTAATAAAACAGGACTTTGTTCTTCTTTAGAATAGACTCGAATTACCCTAATTTCATGTTTATTTTTAAGAAAAAAGAGATAAATACATAATTGGTTAGATGATTTTTCTTAAACAGAATACAAGATTATAGAAACTTAATCTGTGGTTTAGCGTAATAGTTTATCAACTGATTAAGATAAATATTATATTAATTGTCTTCAGAAGAGTGCAGTATAGTTCCGTGTAACCATAACACACTAGTCAACAAATAATTGTAGATTAATCTATTCATTTAGAAAGAGATATTTGCTAACAGATTTCTGTTTTGATAGCTCATTTTTGACATCATTGGATAACTCTATTTCAGGCTTATTCAATCCCTTTTGCTTTCAGTAGATCAGAGCCTTCAAGTAGCATTCATCAGTCCAAGTGGTTAAGTATTTTCCACATATTTATTTAATATTTATCAATAAACTGTCGTAGGCTTCTTTCTGTTCATCAAAGTTAACTGATTTTTCGAGGTTGTTTTCCATAATAATCACACTATTAACAGCTAATTCTATAAGTACTCTCCTATAGTACTTTGTTTCTGTAATTTTGATGCATACTTTCCATACTTGTTCATATAAATTCAGTCCATAACGAACACTATCGCACAGAAGTGTTTAAGTTATATAACAAAATGAAAATTTGGACAATAATCAATGTTTAATTAGTTTAAATCTGTCAGACAGGTAAGATCATGTTTTTCACTTAGTATGATTTATGTTCAATATTTATTTTATTTTTGTGTTACAACTACACAGTGTAATATTTGTTTATCTCTAGAGTGATAGTATTGATTTTGTTTAAGTGTACCCTTTACTTAGTATAAAATTCTCTCTATTAATTTAGTGTGAACTATGTCTAGTATGAGATGAAAAATATTTTAATAGTCATTCTATTTATTTAAGCAAAGATGGATATTGGCTAGCAGTGGAATCCAGGATGCGCGTTCCATCCTATTCAAGACTTGTCAGCTGGATGTACCTGCATCTCAGAGTTGGTGTTCACTTTAGGAGTCGAAACCAGTACTGTTCGCTTCAAACGCCATTGCGTTATCCAAATACGACGAAACGCGCGTCCTGGATTCCACTGCTAGTTACTATTCATCATTGCATAGAATGCTTGTAACCTAAGGCAATATCAAGGCGATTCGCACAGGGTGCACATATACCAACAAGAGTCTGATCAATTGCGGTCCTAAACAACAATAGGCAGGTACAAACAAACAAAATCAAGTGGATTTATTCTATTTCTTTTTCCAATATCTTTTTAACCAATCATCAAATGTTTGCAAGATCAATAATATAAACGAATAAGTTATTCAAAGTGACCGTTATAGTTTTGGAAGATCAATAAAATCCGTATTTTCCATCGGTTTTTATCTTCTTCCTTTGAATCATTCTAACTATAAGTTGTTCTTTTATTCTAAATTTTCAATAATCTCTTATAATTACAACCATATTATTATTCATATTGTTATTATTATTATTTAAACACATAAATATTGGTACAAAGGGGCATCAGATATATATACGCCACACAAATATCTCATTTGATTTGTGTGAAGGCCGTGATAACGACCAGGTGCCCAAACTGAAGCAGGTGGTTTTCTTAGGACTCCACACCCGGAGCCTTTGACCTAAAGGTCTGATCAACAAGGCAGTGGAGCATCGTGAAGAGATGCAGTCCCATGGTAGCCGGTGACCAACGATTGATTCATACGCTATTTGTTCCCTCAGGACACTGGAGCCTGTGTACACCATTGGTTTGGAATCAGAGTTTTTCAACTCCCCTAAGTGAACTCGCCTTGTTCACCAACCCGTTTAAAGCGCCGGACACTTGCGTTACATCCTCTCAATTTCGTAAACAACACCCTCGCCACAAGAAGGCAATGAGTAGAACTTCGCTGGCAGAGGCTACATACACGTGGCCATGTGAGAGCATTTGGAGAGTGAGAACTGACTCTCCCTACTCTCGGTCATACCAGGGCATTTAGGGGCAACATAAGTGTTATAATTTTCTGAAGATTTAAATACATCACTTTCATATAGATTTCATTAAAAGTTTAAAGAAATCTTATAATTTATCAGTTATAAGAAGTTGAATACGTTCATCCAAAACGTGGCATCAGTGCTTGAAGTCACTAACTTCTAGTCTGAGCCATGTTGGCAGATGCAGACCACTTGGTTAGGGTCCGCGTGACCAATAGTTGGAGACTCTAGGTGACATTGCTCAGAATGAATCACAATGGCGTAGATGTATGCACCCTTTATCTTCCCTTAAACCTTGAGATTAAAATTGCTTCATATATATCTTCCTTCCTATACTATATCCTTATATATAACCTTTCTCTTATATATTACCACCACTAAATTAACTATTTCTATGAATCCGGTGTTCATCTTGTTGTGCTAACGAGGTATGGCAACTTGGACAAATGTATATATGTGCCTGATCCTACGTTGTAGCTGACTGACTGAATACGTTCATTATCAATTTGAACATTATTTCTAACATTAACTTACACAAGATGTAGATGATTAAAATTAGTTAAAATATAAAGAAACAAAAACAAACAAACTTGTATCTACCCTTATAATTAATTTATTAGAAATTTTGGTACTAAATTTTTGACAATATTTAAATAATCCAAATTAAGTAGTTAATTATATTAATAAAATTGTCTCATTTTATGTCAATTAAAAATCTGTATAAGTTTTGGTTTTCTAATGATATCCCCCCCTACTCAACTAATTATTAAAATACAATAAATATATAACAAAGAATAAGATCATATCATTACATAAGGATCAATATAAATGTTTAAAAAGTTCCTAATCAAGTCGGATACAGAAACCACAAAGAGGGAGAGAGAAAGAGAGAGAAGAAGAAAAAAAGAAACGTAGGAAGTACGATTAAATGGTTCCATTATTAATCATGCAATATTTATTTCTAATTTAATAATAACTAAAATCTAGAATAAAGACAATTGAAATCATTTTCTAAAAATCTTTTATTAGTTATGCAAATTGATTCTTTTAAAGAGTACATACATAACTTTTAACAGAAGAAAAATTCTTAACCCATAACATATAAGATGATTTTATCATCTTAGATTTCAGAATTTAAACTGAACCCTACGGATGTACTATAAGGATGTTGTTTTCAACAAAAGGAAATTGTTGGGGTGATCTAGAATATTTCTCGGAAAACGCCCAAAGGGGCTGTGAAAACGTCAGGATACATTTTATCCAAACAGTGTTAAGAAGATGTATCTCAGATACAATCTAGTGGCTGATTATATGTCAAGCCCATATAAGTTATTCTAGCTTCTGGACAGACCAACTTATTCATTCTTCTCAAACCACACTTTGCCTTTGTCAATTATTCGCTTATTAACCTTGGCTGTTTTTATATGATCGTATGTGTGTTAAATACTCACTCTATTCATCGCGTGTCTGTAATTTATTTTTGTCTGAATATAAATATTGAGTAACGCTTGATTAAATTGGGTTGGGTCGCTCACCTTCTCCACTGTGTGTCATTTCGTTTCGCTTCGTTTCTTTAATCGTCTGTCTGCATCAACGATTGTATGAAATACATGCAATCGAAATCTATTCTCATATTTAACTTATTTAATTCCGTTATTCACTAACGCGATTTAACCTGATGATTATATACGAGGGTATATGAGATGTATATTTTAATGGTAAACATTCACAAGATCTAAATGGAGTCAGATAAAGGGCCACTAAAGTGGCGAGTCCATCGATAACATCATCAGATATAATTGGCGTCAAAATATAGGATCCCTAAGTCATCTAGAAAGTGAAGAGATACGCGTCACATTTCTGATTGCATGATTACCTATCCTGTTACTATGTTCAGTAGAGTTCCAGAACCTTTCGGAAGCCCAAGGACATCTGATGTGTTACAAACACCCTCAATTTTGTGTATATATGTTGACCTTGGAGTAAAGTGTCCTTTCCATATTTCACGCCTTTTCTCCCGTGTCCAGGTTGTCGTTCACATTTTTCCTGTGGTTATTAGAAGAGCTTAGGGAACTGGTTCAAGCAGTAAGAAGACTCACCAGAAATGCAGTTAAAAATGTACGGACCATTTAATTAGTCAATGTGGAAAGTTGTTTTGCTTAAGACATAAAAATGCCGAGAACACAATTAGAGGTGGAATAAACATACATATACCCCAAACTCTTGTTGCTTGGCATATAATATTGTGTAAGAAACTTACACCATGAAACATTAGACCACGTTAAACGATAGAATTCATTCCTCTTGGACTCAAAATTGTTTGAATGATTTGATACTTTGACATATTTGTAGCTTAATGCTGACTCAAATGGGCAATTTCAGATAGTCCTCAGTAGTAAAACTGATAAAATAAAACATCAGATGCTCAAAAAATATTTTATTTCATACATAACTTAAAAGGGAACTGGTGAGTATCACAAAGATATTAGTTAAAATGCACTGGATGATCGAATCGTTGGTTATTGGTAGCTTTTAAAATGTTTAGTATTTTAATACAATTACAATTAAAGTTAATTTAAACTATGATAAGACGTTGTACTGTCTCGAAGTCATGTGGTATGTGCTACTGATGTTGACATATATAAGTAGTATATATCACCGGCCGAACGTTGAATAGTTGGCGGTAGACGCTTAAGAAGATCGAAGAAAAGAGAACAGAAAGTGATTGGTATAGAAATGAAGGAACAATAAAGTCTGAAACAATTGGTCTACATTCTGTAAATAAAGTATTTACTGTACGGTTCTCAGATTTTACTGAAAGATTCGGTTGTCCCCATTTGCATATCCTCGTTCACTACAATCTCCCTTTTTTCTCTAAAAATTAACTCAATAGACTTCTTTTGTTGAGTACAAATATTATTTATCTATGTTCAAGTGATTTCCAACATTGAACTTATTAGGACTGAAAACATGTTCATCAAAAATAATATAAGATTGCTTTTTTTTATTTCAGAAAACGTGCATATCTATATTCGTGTCATAATTAAATATGAAAGATACTTCGTCTTACATCAATATACTTAATACGACACAATAAACTATAACTTTTAAAAACTTACCATGACGCTTTTTCCATTCTGATATTGAACAAAAAGCTTGGGTACCAGTTGATAAATATCAAAATTTTGAAGTGAATAATCACAGGTTTAACCTCATTTGAAAAATTTTCTTCATCAATATACTACTATTAGCATCAGCTTAAGAAAAACTCTAAGACTTGAATTTATTTGAGAAGTTTGAATACTGTAAATCCATGTTATGTAAGTCATAGACTTTTCCTAATAAACGGTCATACAATACTAAGTACTGATACCAACCTTCACAAGAGATGATCAAGCTAATTAACTAGAATTTTTAAATTAATTACCATGTAAATTAATAATAGGTTTCAGATGAAAATTCAAATAGGCTATTAAGTTAATTACATAACTATGAATGAAATGGTTAGCGTTTTCTTAGCGAGTTGATTTTTCACGGGATGGGGTCGCTAACCCCATGCCCAACCCTCCTCCTTTACCCGGGCTTGGGACCGGCAGTAACCCCTAGAGGAGCTACAGGCGGAGACCAGTGAAAAGCAAGGAAGGCAAAGTAATCACCGACATTGAAGAACAACGAAACAGGTGGATAGAACACTTCAAAGAACTCTTAAATCGACCAACTCCACTGAACCCACCCAACATCAAAGCAGCACTCACAGACCTCTCAATCGATGTCGGCCCACCAACAATTGAAGAGATCAGCATGGCCATTAGATAAATCAAGAGCGGCAAAGCAGCAGGACCAGACAACATCCCGGCAGAGGCACTGAAAGCAAATGTAGCAGCAACTGCCAAGATACTCCACATCCTCTTCAGTAAGATTTGGGACGATGAATAAATACCAATAGACTGGAAAAAAGGACTTCTGATCAAGATACCAAAGAAAGGCGATCTCACAAAGTGCGACAACTACAGAGGCATCACTCTTCTCTCAATACCAGGAAAAGTCTTCAACAGAGTATTGTTAAACAGGATGAAGGATTCCGTGGACGCCCAACTTCGAGATCAACAAGCTGGATTTCGTAAGGATAGATCGTGCACAGATCAAATCGCAACTCTACGTATCATTGTGGAACAATCAATCGAATGGAATTCATCACTCTACATCAACTTCATCGACTACGAGAAGGCATTTGATAGCGTGGACAGGACGACACTATGGAAGCTTCTTCGACACTACGGCGTGCCTGAGAAAATAGTCAATATCATACGGAACTCCTATGATGGACTAAACTGACAAATCGTCCACGGAGGACAACTCACCGACTCGTTTGAAGTAAAGACTGGTGTTAGGCAAGGTTGTTTACTCTCACCCTTTCTCTTTCTCCTGGTCGTCGACTGGATCATGAAGACGTCAACGACTGGAGGAAAGCACGGGATACAGTGGACAGGCAGGATGCAACTTGACGATCTAGACTTCGCAGATGATCTGGCTCTTCTATCACAAACGCAACAACAAATGCAGGAGAAAACGACCAGTGTAGCAGCAGCCTCAGCAGCAGTAGGTCTCAATATAAACAAAGAGAAAAGCAAGACTCTCCGATACAATACAATATGCACCAATCAAATTACACTTGACGGAGAAGCTTTGGAGGATGTGGAAACCTTTACATATCTGGGCAGCATCATTGATGAACACGGTGGATCAGATGCAGATGTGAGGGCGAGGATCGGCAAAGCAAGAGCAGCATACTTACAACTGAAAAACATCTGGAGCTCAAAACAATTGTCAACCAACACCAAGGTTAGAATTTTCAATACAAATGTCAAGACAGTTCTATTGTATGGGGTGGAGACGTGGAGAACTGCGAAAGCCATTATCCAGAAGATACAAGTGTTTATTAACAGTTGTCTACGCAAGATACTTTGGATCCGATGGCCAGACACTATCAGCAATAAGTCACTGTGGGAGACAACAAATCAGATTCCAGCGGAGGAAGAAATCAGGAGGAAGCGCTGGAAGTGGATTGGCCACAGTTTGAAGAAATCACCCAATTGCATTACAAGACAAGCGCTCACATGGAGTCCTGAAGGTCAAAGGAGAAGAAGAAGACCAAAGAACACATTACGTCGAGAAATAGAGACAGACATGAGAAGAATGAACAAGAACTGGATAGAAATAGAAAAGAAGGCCCAGGAGAGAGTGGGTTGGAGAAAGCTGGTCGGCGGCATATGTTCCATTGGGAGTAATAGGAGTAAGTAAGTAAGTAAGTAAGTAATGAATGAATGAAATGAAATAAGAATATAATTCAATGTACAGTTTGGTAATAAAATCGCTAACAGAGATGAAGTAGGGAATCGTATTTTAGTTGGTCTGAATCGAACACTTCTCAAACAAATTTCAACTTTAATCATTATATTTGTATAAATATGTAGAATGTTAGTAAGATAAATCTTTGACGATTACATGCTTTTCTCAGGCTTAAATTAGAAACTGCTGATTGTTTCATTTTCAACCAACCAACGATAATGGACGATTCAAGATCCTGGAAGATTCTTATGTAACTTCTATATAAATTATTATTGCATTTGTATTGTTTGTGTTACTGTAATGTGTACTGTTCATCAGCGTTTCTTGTTTGAGAAGTGTCGAATGAAGTCAAATGTCTCAAAAATACCAAGAAGTAGAAGATAACATAGACAGATCGATTATTTTGAGGGCGATAAAATTCATTTTCATTTAGTCATTGTAAAAATAAATCAGTTAAACAAAACAAAACAGTGAATGAGACTAAACGAAAATAATGAAATGAGTCAGTCAAGTTAAAATAAGAATACATGTGAGTAAACTTTGGGTGTAAAAATAATGAATAAACTTAATCAATAAAAAAATTCTGTTTTCATTTTTGCTTTAAAACGTATTTCAATATGCTACTTATTATCAAAAAATAAAAATGTCATAGATTATATACGCCTTTAGAATAATCTGATAAGTAGTATCATAGTATTCTTTTATTTCGAGTAGCCCCCAAATGCCCTGGTACGGTCGAGAGTTGGGAGTCCTCTCTCCCTCTCGAAATGCTCTCACATGGCCACGCGAATATACAGCCTCTGCCAGGGAAGTCCTACTCACTGCCTTCTCGTGGCATTACTGTTGTTCACGAAATTGAGAGGACGAAAAGCGAATGTCCGGTGCTTTAACCGGGTAGGTGGACACGGCGAGTCCACCTAGGGGAGTTGGAAAACCCTGATTCCAAACCAATGGTGAACATGGGCTTCAATATCCTGAGGGAACAAATGGCATATGAACCAATCGCTGGTCACCGGCTACCATGGGACTGCATCTCCTTACGATCTTCCACTGCCTTGTTAATCAGGTCTTTTGGTCAAAGGCTCAGAGTGTGGCCCCCTAAGAAAACCATCTGCTTCGGTTTGGGCACCTGTGCAGTATCACAGCCCTCACACGAATCAAATGAGATTTGTGTGGCACATATATATCTGGTGCTTCCTTGTACCAATATTTATGTGCTTAAATAAATAAATATTTGTGGATATTTTCATTTTCTCAAAAATAATGATTGATTATTTGAGGATTATTGTATAGAATGAAACATTTCTCCATTGATTTATATCCTTCTTTACTCCTTACTTAAATATACCAAAATAATTTCGTAAAATGATGGGTAAGAGTTGCACCTCGTGTGAATACTAACTTTAGGTAGAAGTATTCATGATGTTGTCCAGAATGATAACAAAAGCTTTGCAATTAAACCAACCAGCTTAGAGAATTCGACATACTCAAAAATAAACTACTCTACAATTCCTAGAATCAAAACTAAAATAAGGTTGTTAATTTAATATTATTAACGACAAGAAATAATCAATTGTATATTAACAAATATCATTATTTTAAACACATTATCCAATCTATTCGAAAAATAAGTTGTTTGATAGAAAGTTCAAGAGATCACTACCTACTACTATTATGATTTTACTAATCACAAGCAATCGTATCAATAAACAATAAAGAACATCTCATAGTTTTGTTGACTATAGTCAATATTGTTTTAAGCATGATTTAATTCAATCACAACAGTTGTCAATGTAATAAATATTTGTTTACTAATTCAATAAAATATATTACTCTTAATAGTTTATCAACTGAAACATTATCATATTGTAACCAAGACTATAACTTATAACCTACAGAAATATGCCTTACAAAGTCATAAAAATCATCAGAGTACCAATGACACACCCAAATTTTAAGTAATCAAAGACTTAATAAATGAACCATATGAGATAAAACATTAAAACAACAAATTTATTTTAAAGAATAAATGAGTGGTCTTTTTAAACTAAAAAAAGATGAGAAAATAAATAGAAAAGTTAACAGAAAAGGCAAAGATTAATCTTTACTATTTAATTTGAAGCTGTAAAATTCAATCGAACACATTTGTTCGACATAAAATCAAATGGATATGAAACTTTCGTTGACTACAATTACTAGTCCCAATCGACTACATGAATAGTGACAATTTTGAATGATCTTTAGAGATCAAATATGGGGTAATGGTTGGGAGAATTATTAACTCTAATAGTTATGTAATAGAAATATCAACCTGTCAGTTAATTAAGAAGCCTCATCTATTGTCTGAATGGAAAAAATATCAAGTGACTAACTAGGATTTTACAACGTCGAGGGAGTGACTGGATGTTGATTGTTTAAACCATAACTTATCAATCACTATCTGATTAGGTAGGACTAAATAGGCTGAACTTATTATTATCAGTCGTACAGAAAAATAGGAAGATCAGCTGTAACAAGAGTTAAACATAATTCTACAATCGATTGTTTTCTGAGTATCAGTATTTTTTTCATATATGTATCTGGCGCCCTTTTGTACCAATATGTATGTGTTTAAATAAATAAAAAATAATTCTCAATTATTATCCACGGAAGCTGAAAAGTTTGAACTGGAAGCTCAAAGCTCATTAATACTTATTAAAAATAAACGTTAAAATAATGATAGTTGGGTCATTTGATTTTTTCTATAACTATACAGTCAATGTACCTTTATGCCTGTGAATATGTATTATGACCACACAAACAGACTAGTAATACATATTACGACTCAGGTGTTTAAGATTCAAAGGCAAATAAGAAAAACACTAAATCGAGCTCAATATGAAGAAATATAGGTTATTGGGCCCCACTTGTGTAAATGATGGTAATGTTAATCACATGTCTAAGACAGATCAACAGGCCATAAAAGCATACTTCGCTTTGGCTTCTGGAAGCTATACACTGTTGGGGAATTATGGTAATAACAACTGTCTAGTCAATTAGCATACAAAGTCCATTAGTAATTACGAAAATATCCACCAAACCCTCGTATTCCATGCTTTATATACATCTTGAACCTTTTTCTATTTACTTGTTTACTCAAACTGTACAGCTTTATCTTGCAATAACTTGAGCTAGGTATTGCTTCCTTGTGATCAAATTTCCAGCTGTAAGCACTAAAATAACTATAATGAGTGAAGATATGCTTTTATTTACATTACACAGTAAAGTCGTAATATATATGTACATATAGTATGTTAAAAATGAAGATGAATTTAAGCCTTTCATTCTGTTAAAACATTTTGTTGTACATTAAAGTGGTAAAAATCAATGATACTGTATTCATTTTTAAGCATCCAGGATATCCATCATTGTTGATTGAGAATAATACATAAAAACTCAAGCAGATGGAAAGAATTTCCGTGGGGAAACTAACTGTACACTTAAGAATCATCGATATCCTCTTCGTCCGAAAAATATGAATTCTGACGAATACATAGTTTTTTTGATGTTGATTGAGATGACGATTGTCTATTGTAGAGTTCTGCTTGATGTTGTACAGCTGCACTCCAGCTATCCAACTGATCATCTATTTCATTATCTTCACTATTCTCATTATCACTGTTGTCGTGATCCATTTGTGTTTTTCTATTACGCGGGTCTGATGTAGACGAATGAGAACTATGATGAAAAGACGATTTAAAGAAAAACAAACACAAACTACGATGAAATTGTTACAAGATGAGCAGTGAGGATGTTGGAACTTTTGGGACTATTTAATGAATTGTTATTATAAATATTTTCATTATATAATTATTAGATAGTTGGACTGTTGTTTTCCTCTATTAACTGTATTGTAAGCTTTGGTTGGACTTATTAACTATTGTTATAAAATCTATTATTCCTTAATTATGCACCATTTGCTCGATCTTCTGCCACTTATAGCATGATTTCATATTTTGGGTGCATTGTGGTCTGATATTTTACATGTATAAACTAATGAGTGTTATAAGGAGATATACTGGATAGCTGAAATCTAACAATGGAACCTTGACTGCTACCTTCTCGTATTCAAACTCAAAGCTGGAAATAGAAGGGGATATGCCAAAGACTACCAAGATTCAGGATTATTCTCGGTTTAACTCAGGGTTAACTGACCAAAGCTTAAGACGCCAGGTGATAGCAAAAATATTATATTATTAGAGAGTCGCCTCTCCAGACATTGAACAATGTGTCGATCATAAAAAAATGACACATACTATTCAGATGTATCATTGACAGCAAACAGAAGACTAGAGTTATTGTGTTCCGAAGAAAGATTAGTAACATTAGTGGGATATAGTTATTATTATTATAACCTAACAGACTAATCTCCATAAGTGAATCCAATTTATTTAGTTATAAATGCTTATTATACCGAGGTACTTGTTAAGTATCAACAAACCAACACAAAATATAGCACAAATCAGGCTTTATCTTCTTGTTAAGTCTGGTTTTTAACATAAATTGAATGCCAATCTAATAAAGATATCTTCATACATACAGTTTCATATTGTTTACCAATGATTCAACTAAGTTTAAACATTTTCTGGATGAGTATTATTTAATTATTGATTTTATTTCTGTTCTGATAAGAGTCTACTATAAAAGGTTTAGATCAATCGCGAGTAGGGAAACCAAATCAAACTGAACATAATGTTTGATTCCATTGAATGTAAAATGTTTCCCAGAAGTTTTATCACTTCACACTATACTATTGAAACAAAACATAAGTAGTGAATATATTGTATTCAAAAAGCACCTAACAATTAGCAACGGCTTAAATTACAGTAAATAAGAGTACGATTTCATTATGTTATATCGTAGACAAGGATTTTTCAGAACTGAATTTTATACCAAATCAATAATAGTAGTGATAGTGTACGAATTATTTTGACAAAATTACTTGTATATCACCAAGAGAAATGTAATATGTCCCACAAATGAAACTGACCTTAATTTGGTCACATTAAAGAAACTTTTTTCAATGATAAAAGTAAACCTAAAGTCCTAACTCTTAAAACAACTGCCAATTCCAACTCGTGCTTGGACAGAAAGAAAAAGAACATACAACTCGTGTTCCACCCTTTATCTGATTTGATGGAAATGTATTGGCGAACAGTTCATAACATCACCTGGATTACGTAAGGGAAACAACACAAATTAGTATAGACATGTTCGAACAAGTTGTAACTAATTCTTGGTAAATAAAAAATTCCATGTTGAGACAACTTCATAGAAAAACTATTAAAGATTACTACGCATGACTAACCGCCACATATCTCGACATACGATGTTAGCTGAATTAGAAGTAAACTTGACGGAACAGAAACATGACATCAGTCTATGAAATTATTAACTATTAATCTGAGCCATGTTAATAAATGAGGATCACCTGGTTGGGGTCTTCGCAATAACTGTGATCAGTGATAAGAGAAAATGAGTGACATGACTCAGAATCGGTAGCAATGATGTAGATGTATTCACTTCTTGTTTTCTCTTACATATTGAGTTCCTAAATTACTTTGTACTTCTTACCTCAACAAATATTATATTATGAGCCTAATTTTTTTCAGACAACACTGATGGTGCTACTACTTCTGTTACTTTGATGTTTATCTTAATAATTCTTTCACGTTGTATTGTAAACACCTATCACAGGATCCAGGTTGTTTATGGTTGACTAAAAACTTGTAATTAGATAGAATTTGATCACACCTAAGTGATTAAGGATATTCTACTTAGGACACAGAGCTTACATGAATAACTTTCAAATAAACATTGAATATATTCATTTAACTTGGAACAAAAATCCGCGATATTTATACTTACAATTATCAACAATCCGTTTTTATTAGAGAACTTACTTGAGTTTCTTTCGGACTTTACGTTTCTTTACCGGTTGTTCACGCTCACCCAATGAGTTTTTCTCACATTTATAACTAAGATGTCCGAAAGACTACAAATTAGACATGGATTAAACTGCTTATGCATTATAGCACTATGTCATGTGATTCAAAATTACAGTCATAAATCCTAAAAGTATTAAGTTCTTTATTAAAATAGTGACACAAGATATCGATTGCTTTCATATTAAATGAAGTATTAGCAATTACGCCTAGACAACATTGAAATAAAAGGTGAGGATAACTATTAGAACATAGCCTCATTGACGAGTTTCATTTTTATAGGTGGTATTCGTATCGGGTTAGCATAAGTTGTGGGATCATTGAAAGCAAGGGAGTATACGAAAGTTGTTTCGTCCAAATATGAAACTGCTTAACAGTGCGTACCAACGATCACAACAAAAACAACTCAGGAACGATAGATCTTAGGATCACTGGGTTCAAATTTATTGGTGTATATTTTCAGCATCAGCCGATTCGTAGTATAGAACAACAATCGCTCAAAGGCATTAGTAACAACTGTTGGATTGCCAAAATCGTATAAATTCACAAGTCAAGACTTAATACTGGCACTCCCAGTACGCACTAAATGAAGATTCATTTGATTTGCAAAAAAAAATATCGCACTTAAATCGCATTATTAGTATTAATGTCTTCAACCAAACTTTTCAAAGATTTTTTCCCTTCAAGTTATATGTCTAATTTCCTCAATATTCATCCATGTCTATATGCAAAGCATTCCCCTCTGGTTATTGGGACTGCGAAAGGTGGTATTGCTCTAGTTTCTAGCCACTTAATGGTCGGAAATGAATAAAATGTGCAACGGGTAGTCACATAGAAGGACTTTGCTACCACAACAAACCTTCACAATATCTTAATTATGAACTTTTACTGAGAATGAGTAGTTTTTAGGGTCAATAAAAATCTAATTTCAAATACTTATGCAATTATGTATCTATTAATGTTAACGGACAAACTATCACACTGTAGTTGGACACTACATCTGATGTTACGTTAGTTTCTCGTTCGGCCAAGTATCACTACAATAAACTGCGTAAATAATGCATCAAGTATCCTCATCCAAGTTGTCGGGATTATATGGTATATTACATTTAATGGTCTAATGACCACATCCAGATGCTACGTCACTAATCAATTTTCGACTTGTTAGGTCTTCATTAGTTAGCAGATTTGATTTGTAATCACCTTTCTATCTCAATTGATGACAACTATATGGAAGCAAAAACACCCGAAACAAGTATACAATAACCTTCGTCATACCTCAGATATAAAATTCGGAAAAAGCAGAGAGAGCTACAAGATAATGCCTATCATCAATCGATAATGGCATAGTTTCCAGGAGGAGGTAATGAATCCTCACTGAAACACCATCGGCCGAGTTAGTCAGCTACAACGTAGGACCAAGCACATATATGCATCGATTCAAGATGCCATACTTCATTAGCAAAACAAGATGAACACCAAATTCACAGAAGCAGTTACTTCAATGGTAGTAATATTTTAAAAAAGATTGCATATAAGGATAGGATACAGGGAGGAAGAATTAGTTCGAAGAAAGAAAGGTATAAAGTGATTTTAATTTCAAGGTTTAAGGGAAGACAAAGAGTGTATACACCTACGCCATTGTGGTCGATTCTGAGCCATGTCACCCAGAGTCTCCAGCCACTGGTTACGATGGTCGCACCGACCCCAACCAAGTAGTCTGCATCCACCAACATGGCTCAGACTAGAAGTTAGTGACTTCAAAGACTGATGCCACATTTTGGTTTATTTCATATTTATTTATTTAAACACATAAAAAGGAAGCACCAGATAAATATGCGCCACACAAATCTCATTTGATTTGTGTGAGGGCTATAATATACCCAGGTGCCCAAACTGAAGCTGGCGGTTTTCTTACGAGTCCACACCCAGGGCCTTTGACATAAAAGTCTGATTCACAAGACAGTGGAGCATCGTGAGGAGATGCAGTCCCATGGTAGCCGGTGACCAACGATTGGTTCATACGCCATATGTTCCTTCAGAATACTGGAGCCCATGTTCACCATTGGTTTGGAATCAGGGTTTCCCAACTCCCCTAGGTGGACCAGCGGCGTACACCTACCCGGTTAAAGCGCCGGACATTCGCTTTTCGTCCTCTCAATTTCGTGAACAACAGTAATGCCACGAGAAGGCAGTGAGTAGGACTTCCCTGGCAGAGGCTGTATATTCGCGTGGCCATGTGAGAGCATTTCGAGAGGGAGAGAGGACTCTCCCCACTCTCAGCCGTACCAGGGCATTTGGCCGCCCCAAAATTTCTTCCAACCGTCTCCAACACTAGTCAACATTGAGCGTCATGGTAATCGGTGCTCAGACATACGTAACACGTGGCTCAACCAACTCAGTCGATGAAGATTCATGAACTCAGCAACTGATTGACGATCATTCCCTAATACCCTGCGTCTGACCTCACTACTACTTAACCGGTGATCCTAACAGATGCTGGCAATATTTCTAAGACACCTATCATAAAATACTAGTGATTAGTATCGTCTACTCTTAATGACCACGTTTCGCGATCGTAAAGTAGAACAGAACGAACTGCTGCGCACTATACTCGTCCCTTAATTGATAGACGGATGGACATCTCGTAGGTGTCATAGGTGACATCAACTGGCAAAAGCCAAACGAGCTTTCTGAATCCGTGCTGAGATTTCGTCAGACACCAACCCATTAGGACTGATCAGAATTCTAAGATAAGTGAAGTTGTCGACGCGTCCGACTACTTCACTCCCTATCTTTAGTTCAGGTCAGTCTTGGAGCAACAACTTGCATTTAGAGGGGGAGTAACACATCCCAAACATTTTTGCATTGTTCCTCAGTGCTACCTAAACATCTGCATTTTATCAGCGTCTTCACCAAACTGGACTATGTCATCTGCGTATTCTAAGTCGATAAGTGGACCTCCTGGTAGGTAATCGTTCCCTGAAAATTCAGTCGACGAGTGTTATTTCCAGTAGTAGTTTTATGATGAATTTAAACAAAAATGCAGATAGTGGACAGTCTTGCCGGACACCACTTGAGGTTGCGAAATTAGATGACAGTTCACCATAAGTATTCACTCGATCGGTAGTGATCTAGTAAGGAGCCTTCACAATGTTTATGTACTTCTGAGGTACACCTTTCAATGACAGACACTGCCACAGAACCTTTCGGTCTACAGAGTCAAATGATGCTTCTCAGTCAAAAAAAACTATCATCGTCGGACGTCGATAAGCATGCCTGTGTTCCAAGATGGTGAATACATGGTCGATACAGCTAAAATTGGACCACCATCCTTAAAGACCTCTGGAGCCAATCTATAAGGACTAACTACTCTCTCGTTTCAGATTAGCTATAGCATTTCGAACTTCAGCTAGAGTCCGGGGACCTACTTCAATTCTCCATTCAGGCTGTCCGAGAATGGTGGGTAGTTGTAGAGCGGCTGAAGACCAGCTAAACAGTCAGTCAGTCAGTCACAACGTAGAACTTCGTACGTACGTACATCAGTTCGAGTTGCCATACCACATTAGCACAGAGATGCAGTTGTCGATTCAAATCCCATAGTGGTAGAAGTAGTAGGAGTATAATCAGAAATCTAAAAGATTAGGGTTTGAAGAAATTATTGAAGGAGTATAGTACAGTGAAATAAATTTGGAAAGAGAAAAAGATAAAGACATGAGGAATTCAGAAGATTAGAATTTGGTAGAACACAAAGAGTGGATGCATCTTCGCCATTGCAAACGATTTTGAGCCATGTCATTCAAGGTCTCTAACCATCGATTGCTATCATCTCGTGAATCCCAACCAGGTAGTTTACACCTACCAACATGGCTCAGTCCACTTGTCAGTGACTTCATTGATTTGTGCCACGTTTTGGTCTGGCCACCCCTAGCTTTCTTCCAACCTACTCCTACATCATAAAACACCGCACGTCGGGGCAGTCGGTGGTTGGGCATACGTAACACATGTCCCAGCCATCTCAACTGATGAAGTTTCACTACTTCATCAATCGATTTGCCATCCTTACCTAGTACTCGTTTCCTAACAACTGCATTACTTACCCGGTGGTCCCAGGACACACGAGCAATGCTTCGAAGACACATATGATCGAATACTAGTAGCCTACGAATATCCTCTACTCTTATTGGCCATGTTTCACTGCCATAAAGTAGGACGGAGCGAACTGCTGCACAGTAAACACGTCCTTTTGTTGCTAGACGGATATCTCGCCTACGCCATAAATGACGCAAGTTGGCGAAAGCTAGACGAGCCTTCTGTATCCGTGCTGAGATTTCGTCACATACCAGACCACAAGGGCTGATGAGACTCCCAAGATAAGTGAAGTGGTCTACACGCTCAACTACTTCACTCCCTATCATTAGTTCAGGTGTCGATGCAACCCAATCCTGAAGTAACATTTTGCACTTCGAGGGAGAGAATCGCATCCCGAACATGCCTGCATAGTTGCTTATAGTGGTCAGAAGACTCTGCATGTTGTCAGCGTCTTCACCGAGTAAAACTATGTCGTCGGCAGACCAGCCAAACCGTTCCTTAAAGTGTTCCACCCATCGTTCTAAACATCTGGGCTGAGAGCAGAGAAGTGTCATCTTCTCGGCTGAGTCCGAGAAGCCAGACTTACTTACAGAATGGGCAGCTGATAAATTGAGGGTTATTAGAAGACCGTTACTGGATAAATGCATGTGATTGGGTATAAAATTGTAACACGGATTCGCCTCGCCTCAAGTTACATTTAAATACTTGTTAATAAATAAAATTTCGTATTAAGTAGTTGGATTCAACAGACTTACGCCGCATTCATAGCATCGAGATTTATTAGGATATTCTCGTCTACGAATAAATTCAGCAGCTCGACCATTATCTCGAGCGATTGATGCTTTCAATGTACGACCAAACATCTAATTAAGGAGAAACATTAATAATAAAATCAAGGTGAACTGATGTTATAAAGCTTTAAATATTATATGACAGACGACAGTAAATATAAATCCAAACACGATCTCAATAGTTATCATTGACATAAGCAGAGTATAGCTGTAAAACACTAACTTTTGTCAACTTTGAATAAAATTCGACAACAACTCTAAGTAACTTTCGAAATAATTTCGATTGTTTACGCTTTATTTTTCGATTCAAATTAAAATATATTAATGGTTATCTGTTGTTCGTTAAGAAAAGTGATAATAAACAGGACTGACCTCAAAACTGAGTATATTAATTATCTTAATAATGTAGAAGTGCTTAAGTTCTGATGTTTTCTTTCAAATTCAATAAAATAATCTTCATGAGAGCGTTGGCTTCGTTGTTTGAGTCCTTAATTGAATCACCTGTTCCTCATTACTTAAAACATCACTAAACTCACGTAAACAAATATAACTTAATAAAGTCATATATAATGATTTGAATGAAGTTTGATAACTATGATTATTTCTCTAAATAGTCAAACTAGTAGTCACGGTTACTTAAATAAAAAAGGAAAAAAAGGAAACGAAATGCTAAAAACTACTTTGCTGTCATATTGAACAATATAACTGAGTAAACTTGCATATATATATATATATATATATATATATATATATATATATATATATATATATTTACCTGCATATTATTCAATTTATTTGCACAGTTGAAAGCATCATTTTTATCTAAGAATAAGACGAATGCAACACCTTTGCTTTTACGACTTTCTTTATCTTTTACCACAGTTACCCTAGATCAAACCAAAAAAAGTAAGCGAAAGTTCATATACATATCAAGCAAATATCAACACATGATAAACGAATAAACATTAGATAAAGTTCCAACTTGTTAATAAAATGAGTTCATGTCTAATAGTATATTATAGATTCGAATATGTAATGTAATGTCAATATTTCAGTTTTCTTCACTTTCATAAATAATTATAATGCATAAAAATGAATATTAAGCTTTCACTCAAGTCAATAATGTAATATAAAACAATTAGGCCCATTGATAAATTTCGATAATGCAATGATAAGACAAATGTTATCAGAATTATATGATATATTTGCGCAAAACATTTCGAACAATTTGATCACACATATGCTTGTTAAGACATTTTTGTATGAAAAATAAAGAGTCAACTAGACAAATCAAAAGGTAAGCGGAAACAAAGAATAAAGATCTACACAAAAACAATGTGAAAATCACGCTGGATAATAAGTCAGTATTACCAGGATAGGTTAAGGGTAAAAACGAATTGTTTTTGAACACACACACAGGAGGTTTCAGTTCCCGTATAGCCAAGGCTTCAATAAACCTTGGCATACGCCCTTGAAGGCTTTTATACAAAACTACAAAGGTTGACTTGATATCAACCTTATGACCGGTCTCAACCAAATGTTTCGCAATGGAGGAGGATGTTTGTCTATCCTGCGAACTCATTTGATCATTGGAATTTATTTGTTTTTGCAGCCATTTAGGTGTGTCCAGCTATCATCACTTGCAGGTCACGATTGCTCCTCTCCATGTACGTGTTTCCTCACATACATGTAAACTGATAGACACAATGGGATGTGACATGATTGCTTACGTGCTGTTTGGGTTTTTGGTGAATCATAGATCTTGTCTTTTCAATAAGAACGAGTTGGGCAGCATAAAATCCCCGGTTGATCGCTGCTTTAAGTCTCCGTTTCAACATATGACCATCTGAGTCACCTCTAAATGGTAACGTAATGTAGACTCGCTTTCTGGGTGCCAGAAGCGTCATAGGTCACAGCGTATTGCAACCTTTCCAACAGTTTATGAACTTCAATGAATGAACGTTATTCATTAATGTTTCAGTTAAAAGCTTTGTGTCTCCTTCAATAGTATCACTAGTACAAATATGATTGATTCTATCGAATAAGCCCTTTGCTAATCCATGTTTGTAATGAATTGGACGGTGACTATGGAAATTAAGATATTGTCCTGTCCATGTGAGCTTTCTATATACAGAACGTTCGATGGAACCATCATCTTTCCTACTAATCAGTATATCTAGAAAAGGGAGCTGGTTATTCTTCTCTTCTTCGCATGTAAGAGAAATGTGCTTTTGACTTGTGCTGAGTTCATTTAACAATCGGTTCAGATCTTCACGTTTATCACCTATGATTATAATGACATCCACGTACCGCTTCTACAGACACATCTTTTGAATTGAGTCTCCAGCTAGATTTTCTACGTATCCCATAAACACATCAGCCAACAACGGTCCTCAAGGCTATCTATAGCTACGCCATCAATCTGTCGAAAATGCTCACCCTCAAAAGTGAATTTCACATTGTCAGTACATAATAGTAATAAGTCTTTAAGAGTTTTAACAGAAAATGGAAACGAAAGGTTATTTAATGAGATATAGTTACGTTTATAAGTACAGTGTTTACGTCAAAGGAGCACATTGTCTTAGTTTTTTATATTAATATCCATTTAGTACTTAATTAATTCAAATGAGTCATTCAAAGAATACTTACAAAATTGGTTTCGGGTAAAGTTTAGTACTTTTGTTAGCCATTTTGCAAGATTGTATGTAGGTGACCGACACATTGATAAGATTGAACGTAAGCGGTTATTGAGATTATAATTTTTTTGGTAATCTATATAAATTAGGATACGCCGTACCCATAGGTTTTAGTAAACTAAACTCCCCTTTATTAATAGCATTCATGTTTAACGATTTCATTGAATTCGAGTTTACTTTCCTTCTTAATTTCCGAAATCCATCAGAGGCAATATCAGCCATAAATTTTCTTTTATCATTAAGGATGGATTCCATTTAATTTTTCCAATCGGACTTATTTATAATAACAACTGATCCTTTATCAGATCTAACTATAATAATATCAGCATTACTTCGCAATTCCTTTAATTACTTAAAGTGCCGAGAAGTTAATATACTTCTCTGCTTTGGTTCGATATAATGAAGTTGGTGCGCTATATCCCCTAGTTTAACTTTAAACCAATTTTGATTCTCTATGGATTAATGGGCTAAAGTGCTCAAATGATCATAGAGGCTTTCAATGCTAATTCAGATTGCGAGTGAAGGTAGCTGGACACACCTAAATGGCTGCAAAAACAAATAAATTCCAATGATCAAATGAGTTCGCAGGATAGACAAACATCCTCCTCCATTGCGAAACATTTGGTTGAGACCGGTCATAAGGTTGATATCAAGTCAACCTTTGTAGTTTTGTATAAAAGCCTTCAAGGGCGTATGCCAAGGTTTATTGAAGCCTTGGCTATACGGGAACTGAAACCTCCTGTGTGTGTGTTCGAAAACAATTCGTTTTTACCCTTAACCTATCCTGGTAATACTGACTTATTATCCAGCGTGATTTTCACATTGTTTTTGTGTAGATCTTTATTCTTTGTTTCCGCTTACCTTTTGATTTGTCTAGTTGACTCTTTATTTTTCATACAAAAATGTCTTAACAAGCATATGTGTGATCAAATTGTTCGAAATGTTTTGCGCAAATATATCATATAATTCTGATAACATTTGTCTTATCATTGCATTATCGAGAGATAATAGTGCAGTAGTGGATAATAGGCAATCTTGAAACGTGATACGTTTGTGAATTAGGATTGTTACACATTGGGGAACAGATATGATCGAGTTATACGATTAGAAAGAAACACAAAAACAGCAGCCACATACAATAGCTGGTTAGGAAACAGGTTGTTTAGGCAAATGGTTTCAACCCTTAACTATATTGTTTATTACCATGAACATCGATTAAAGATTCCTCCTGGACATGGGTCAACATACTTACTATTGAGGAATTTAATACCTGGTGTCATGATGTTGTTCGACTGTCTTAAGGTTTATTACGATGTAACCTCATCTTTGTGATTGAGGACAAAGTACCTAAATCACAGAAACGCGTAACTCCGAATTAATTGCTTGAGTAAGGAACAGTAACTAACAATTTAGTACTCTAATAAACAGTAAATTAAAACTCACCTGACCACTTTACCATACGGCTGTAATATTTGGTGAATATCATTGTTGGTTAGGCTGAATGGCAGATTACTTATGTACACAGTACTTTTACTTGGAGCCAATCCCTTACTCATAGCTCATTAAGCTCCGTCATGTAAATGATAACTATTAAAAAATTGAATATAAGTGAAGATTTGAAAAAGGGAGGACCAGATATGATTAACAATAACTTAACAAATATTTCAGGGTAGAATGAAGATCATACAGCTTAGACTGGAAAACTCCGAGGTTTGTCTGTGAAATCAAAACACCCAACCCGAAATTGTAATAAGCTTGACACCATCACAAAGAGTGGCTATCATTTTTACTTTAATCACCAAAGCCCATATTTATTTTAAACATAAATATATCCAATGCACTTAAGTAGCTAACTTAAATGCTTAGTTTCCAGTCATTTTTAGTCAGCAGCCAAATTACTTCATTCGCGCTAATTATGAGATCGCGTCTAAATATTTGAGTGTGTTGATGGTGAGTTTACCATCCATATGTGTGATTTGCAACTAGTCAGTCAGCTACAACGTAGGACCAAGCACATATATGCATCGATTCAAGATGCCATACTTCATTAGCAAAACAAGATGAACACCAAATTCACAGAAGCAGTTACTTCAATGGTAGTAATATTTTAAAAAAGATTGCATATAAGGATAGGATACAGGGAGGAAGAATTAGTTCGAAGAAAGAAAGGTATAAAGTGATTTTAATTTCAAGGTTTAAGGGAAGACAAAGAGTGTATACACCTACGCCATTGTGGTCGATTCTGAGCCATGTCACCCAGAGTCTCCAGCCACTGGTTACGATGGTCGCACCGACCCCAACCAAGTAGTCTGCATCCACCAACATGGCTCAGACTAGAAGTTAGTGACTTCAAAGACTGATGCCACGTTTTGGTTTGGCTACCCCTAACTTTCTTCCAACCGTCTCCAACACTAGTCGGGATTGAGCGTCATGGTAATCGGTGTTCAGGTATACGTATCATGTGGCCCAAGCCACTAATGAAGTTTGCATCTAGTGGTTTGAAGACTATCAGATCCGTCTTGTCATGTTGACCGTATTCGGATGTAAAAATATTTAACAAAAGTGATGAAATGTAATAAGAAAATTATCACCTTTCCATTAACATATTTTGTGATTTGATACCCCTGTGTTCTTAGTACAGAAATGACTTCAATTAGGTATTTAACAGACCTGAGATATTTTCTTTATAAAACCATCCAATTCGTCTGCATTAAGAACAGTAAAATATATAACAGGGCTCATTAACGTCATTTATTCATTACTTATTTATTTCATGCGTACCACCATGAAAAATTCAGTTCGAAGAAATATGAATCTACAAAAACAGTGATTTGTGAGGAAATGCTAAGGGTTGCGAGTTACACTTAGTTTATAAATACTTATTCCGACTGAACATAAAGTGGCCAGTATTAAATGCTAGAATGAATTTAACGTAGCTAGTGTCTCTGATACTTCATTCAAAGCTTCAGTTCTTGAACTAAAAGTATGAACTCCTGGCAGCTTGAATGAAAGCCGTTTAAGTGCATCCTAAAACTGGAAAGTGGCTACGAAAACATCAAACGTAGCATGTGTTTTGAATTGTAATTTCTATAAAGCCCAATCAGAGCAGTAGACAAATATCCTTTTCACTCATTTTTATATAACACCTTTCACATATCCAATAAAGGTTTGACAATCTGAAGTATTTGCTTAGTGAGGTCAGATACGCAAGAGTAAATATAAGTGAACCTTTATTCGTCCTCATATAAATATATAGTTAATCCACGTCAGTAACCACATAAAATCTTGATACTCGGTTTTAAGGTACGGTGAAAATTCGGTTTTCAAACTGAAATAGGTATAGTGGAGTTGGAATCCTAGACTTATTAGTTTGTCTCAAGCATTATTCTATCAATATACTCATTTCGTTTAATCTAGCTTAACTAACATGCGATTTGCGGATTAATGTACTTCACCTCGAGTCAAAATGCTTAGATGACGTCTATTGATACTAAAAGGTTATTCAGACAGATATAGATGGGGCGGGATACTAACCTAAAACATAGTGGTCAAAAGGAATGTTTTAACCAATAATCTAACACTCCCTTCTTATTTATACAATAGTTAACGATACTGTGCAAATTCAAAGTGGATAGGGTATGTTTAGAGCTGAAGTAATTATTGTGAGGTATCTAAAAAACTAAGCAATAAATGTATGAGTGACTAATTTATTTGAGCTTCAGATTTCAATTTTATTAGCTTCTTCCATGTTCAGAGAGTTATATTATGCACAGTGTATCAACTATGCTGTATTTAGGCTGAAGTTTACAAATTAGTTACCGACCGGAGTATTCTGTATAGCAACAATTTCCTGACACTGACTTTATAAAAAAAACCTGACGCCCCAAAACTCCACAAACGTTGAAGGTTTAGAAACCGACTATTTATATAACTGCACACAAATAACTTTAAAAGCTCATTTTTGCTTATACTACTGCACAGAATGAAGCTTACGGAAAAAACCACTTCGTGAATAAGTTTATTTTGCTAACAAAAGCACTTCGTCGAAAGCGTAAGATTCAAAAACTCAACAGTGTCAGTAAATATCGGATTATTTTGTATACAAAAATGTACAAGATGGAATCACTATTTCCGACGTTTATATTTGGAGGTTTGTTTCTTTGAACGGCGAAAACGTTTTTTACTCCTCATGGGATTCATTTTGAGTGCTTTTTTAAGCGACATATGTGGCCTAAATAAAAATAGTCATCAAAAATAACAACATACTCTTCAGCAGAAATTATTGGATCAGAATTTCGTTCCTGAATAGGTTAGGAGTGAAACTGGATTATCTCAAAGTACCTTGCAAGCACCCATGAAATAATGGGAGTTACATAAATCTAATTCTTGAATAACGACACTCTGGTCTCCAATAACCTGTTTGTCACTGGAAAGGATGTTTTCAACACAATCTAGAGACCCAGGCAACAGAATATTTTCAAGTTTTTGACGAGCAGCCTCTCTGTACTAATAGAGTAACAACGTGTGAATCACAACAAACTTTGTCCTTAACAGCCTTAATCTCATCTTTTAATTGTTTTTCTGCAGCTTTGCGTCCCCTTTCTTTACGTTCAAGCTTTCTTTTTCGAAATCCAGTAAGATATTCTCTGATAACTCGGAAGTGGGAAAATAAAGACTGTACTTTCTCTTTTCCTCGTCAAATATAAGACTTAGCTTTGGCCTTTTCTTCATAATACTAACCAGGTTCTAATACAATATGAACACCTAATTAATGATAAGTAAAATATGATACACTATCAAAGAGATTCGATAAAACGAGAATTGTAATGCTTTACCTTTATTTGGTTAAAAGTCGTAACAAGTGTTAAATGAAGTCATTCGATGTTATTCTCTTACCATTTAAACTTGCGTTGATCTGAACAGGTCTACTGTAAAATTCAATTTGTTTCATTGCAGTTTTATAAATATAGCTAATATTTGAAATAATACTCACTGCACTAAGCGCTATCCACTTAAGCTTAGAAGTTGATGTCTTGATTTTTATTTGAGAATCTCACATCAAGGTAGATAAAAAATTACTTCCCAAATATGCACCATATCTGGGTAAGGAAACAAAGTGGATGCTACCCATAAATATAACTCAACACAATGACTCTAGACGGCAGCTAACAATAAGCTTGATTACTTCACGAACTGACGCCACAGTTTAGTTTCGCCGCACCTACCTTTTTCTTGATGTAATCTCACACTAATAAACATCACCCGTCGAGACCACTATAAGCAACTATGCAGGCATGTTCGGGATGCGATTCTCTCCCTCGAAGTGCAAAATGTTACTTCAGGATTGGGTTGCATCGGCACCTGAACTAATGATAGGGAGTGAAGTAGTTAACCGTGTTGACAGCTTCACTTATCTTGGAAGTCTCATCAGCCCTTGTGGTCTGGTATGTGACGAAATCTCAGCACGGATACAGAAGGCTCGTCTAGCTTTCGCCAACTTGCGTCATTTATGGCGTAGGCGAGATATCCGTCTAGCAACAAAAGGACGTGTTTACTGTGCAGCAGTTCGCTCCGTCCTACTTTATGGCAGTGAAACATGGCCAATAAGAGTAGAGGATATTCGTAGGCTACTAGTATTCGATCATATGTGTCTTCGAAGCATTGCTCGTGTGTCCTGGGACCACCGGGTAAGTAATGCAGTTGTTAGGAAACGAGTACTAGGTAAGGATGGCAAATCGATTGATGAAGTAGTGAAACTTCATCAGTTGAGATGGCTGGGACATGTGTTACGTATGCCCAACCACCGACTGCCCCGACGTGCAATGTTTCATGGTGTAGGAGTAGGTTGGAAGAAAGCTAGGGGTGGCCAGACCAAAACGTGGCACAAATCAATGAAGTCACTGACAAGTGGACTGGGCCATGTTGGTAGGTGTAAACTACCTGGTTGGGATTCACGAGATGACAGCAACCGATGGTTAGAGACCTTGAATGACATGGCTCAAAATCGTTTGCAATGGCGAAGATGCATCCACTCTTTGTGTTCTACCAAATTCTAATCTTCTGAATTCCTCATGTCTTTATCTTTTTCTCTTTCCAAATTTATTTCACTGTATTATACTCCTTGAATAACATCTTCAAACCCTAATCTTTCACATAATACTTATACTCTTACTACTTCTACCACTATGGGATTTGAATCGATAACTGCATCTCTGTGCTAATGTGGTATGGCAACTCGAACTGATGTACTTACGTACGAAGTTCTACGTTGTAACTGACTGACTGACTCACCCGTCGAGATGGACAGTAGTAAGGCATACCTGACATATATCTTAAACACCTCAACCGATAAGGACTTGCAACTTCATCGACAGATCTTCCACCTTTGTCTAGTAACCGATGCTGAACCTCAACACTACTCAATGAATTGTTTCACGAGACACCTATGATCAAAAATCTACAGCATACACGCGTCCATTTTTCATAGCCATTACAAATGTCGAGTGTACGGGGGGAAATCTTTGATTCGACAAACAGAAACAAATTGCAATGGACCCAAGATAGCTAATCGTGTCGGTCACTACATATTAACAGAAGAAATGAATCAGGAAAAAAAACAAAGGAGCAAAGTTCATAATACCAATTCGAAAGGACCGAGTGAAGGAATAGAGATTACGACAATCTACCTGTAAGGCAGTGAAGTGAAAAACTTCAGACGTTTCGCAACTTACGGTCAGTCTCTACCTCAACGTATATAGTGTATCAAAAACAAGTGAAAAATGTCATGGTTTGGATCGAGGTGAAAATACATGATGGACACATATGTACTACTCCGATTGATATTCAACCATAAACTAGTTTTCAACAACAAACTGCGCAAACTCTACTTAGCGCGGCACATTGAACTTTCGGTGGCCAATCATACCAGATTTTATGGGAACTCAACGAACAAAGCATATAAGTTTTCTTACAAGATCAACCAGTAAACCTGTAGCCAATAATCAAACACAACAAAAGATAAGACATTATGCAGGATATCTCCCCCACCCCCGAAAAAACATTGTAGAGTTTAGGTATTCTTGGAAAGTAATCTAGGGTGCCACAATAAATATAACTTGTAAAAATTTAAAGTCAAATACAACTACGTCATCAGTGACGTCGATAAAAAGTGCAAATAAGGCTACCCTCAAGAATGTCACATGAAACAGATGAATTTTGCGACTTCCTAGTTTGAAGTTAGGATGGGACTAGGCGCGGCATTACACACAGACTCACCGCAAAACAGAATTAACTCAAACCTCATATCCTGAATCAAAAAGTGAATTCTAACAAAGACACCACATCTCCAAATACTACATTCTAGCACTATATTCCGAACTCTTTGTTTTGGTATTGAGACCTTAATACCGGTCTTAATTGCTTACAACTTCTAAACAGGCTGAGATATTTCATCACATATCAACCTAAAATCTATAACTATCTATCCCACAAATGAGTCGTGGTTGTCAGATAATAGGTTGTGAAACTGGTTTATCTGTCTCCTGTCTACTACAGCATGTTTAGGTCTTAAGAGAGTTCGATAATGTGTTTAGGCCTGAGCACTTTCTGCTTGTTCATTGTGACACTTACTTATGTAATCCTAAACCAACAACCAAATCATCTAGGTAAATCCACGGAACAAGTGGCCAACTTTAAATGTGACCGCACTTTCTTTTTCACGACCTTGAACAGTGTAAGCGACAGTGAGCATTCAGTCTTCAGTAATAAGGATAGTAGGTTGATGAACCTGTGTTAATCCTGACAGATTTCCTTCCAGTGAAGGTCCAGCTTCTTTTTGAAAATGTTCACTGATGGTGCTGATACCACTTGTTCTGGTAAAGCGTTCCAGTCATTGACCTCTCGATGAGAAAAACGGGACACCAGTTTTAGTTTATTAGATCGCGGTTTCAGAACCTTCTTGCTATGACCCCGGAGATTATTAGTGCTGGAGGGAGCAAAAAGATAAGACATATTAACACCCAGATCATAATTAAAGATACGAAATGCCAATATAAGGTCACCTTGCGTCCTACGATAAGATAAGGGGAAAAGGTTTAGACGTTTTAAACGCTTATAGTAAGGGAGTTTAGAAAGATCCTTTACTAATTTTGTCCCTACACGCTGGACACGCTCAAGCGATTTAGTATCCTTTATCAGACAAGGGCTAGCCGCTTGGATACAGTATTCTAAGTGTGGCCTTACATAGGTGGGATATAAAATTCGAAACATATCTTCGTCAAAGCATTTAAATGCTCTGCGAAGCGACCATAGCGCGCGATAGCCTTTGGAAGCAACCGCATTGCAGTGCGTAGTGGTTTTTAAGTCGTGACTTATAATTACTCCTAAGTCTTTGTGCTCATGAACGCGTGGCAGAGATGTACCATTAATGGTATAATGGTAACTAATATCGTGCCCGATGTGTATGAACACGCTCTTCCTGAAATTAACTTCCAGGCCCCAATCATGAGCCCACCTAACTAATTCGTCTAAATCTGCTTGCAGATAACAACGATCAGTCTCATTTCTTATTGTTCTCCAGATTTTAACATCATCCGCAAACAATAACATCGACGGCTTAAGTAATAAAGGTAGTTCATTAATATACGGAAGGAAAAGTAAAGGGCCTAAGATGGTGCCTTGGGGTACACCACTTTTGACCGGTCTCCATTCGGATAGAGTTCCATTGACCCTCACTCTCTGTCTGCGGTCACATAAGAAGCTTCCTATCCATTCCTGTATAGCACTTGTTATACCAAAGCTCGAGAGCCTTTGCATAAGACCTAAGTGTGAAACCTTATCAAACGCTTTGTTAAAATCTATGAATATCACGTCGACAGACTGGCCGTTGTCTAGGGCAGCTGTCCAATCCTCTCTCGCAATGAGTAAGTTAGTCAAGCATGAATGCTTGTTACGAAACCCATGTTGCTCGGGAGTTAACAGATTGTACGAATCTATGTGGCTCAGTAGCTTAGCCCGAATTAATTTTTCAAGTAGCTTAACTACTATACTGGTCAGGCTAACAGGCCGGTAGTTAGATACGATCCGTCTCTGACCATCCTTAAATATAGGACTAACTATGGCGTCTTTCCAGTCTCTAGGTAGTTGAGCCTGTGAAAGGGACATGTTGAAGAGCATCGTGAGCGGTCTTGAGATAATGTCCGCAAGCGATGACAGCAAACGTGGGTGTAACCCTTTGGGGCCCGGTATCTTACAAGGTTTTAGGTTAGTTATCAAAGGAAGAACAATATCCTCTGTCACGTGTAAAGGTCCTACGGCTGGTATTTCATTGTCAACGGGACAAGTAGTTGTAACACTACACGTAGAGTAGACTTCACTGAAATAGTTAGCAAATAACTCCGCTTTCGCTAGGTCAGATTCAGCCAATAAAGCTGAATTTTCGCTTAACAGTAATGAGGGGATACCATCACTACGATTCGTCCGCCTTTTAACATACGAAAACAGTCGCTTCGGACAGGTACGGCTATCGTATGCCAACTGTCGTTCGTAAGCCGTGCGGGATTTAGCTATGGTCTTTTTACATATATTCCGGATTTTTTTATATTCGCACTTAAATGATGCCTGACCTGTTGACAAGAATAAGTCCCAGAAGTATTTCCTATGCTTCAACAGCTTCCGGGTTTCCTTATTAATCCATGGTGGGCAATATGATAGCTTACGTGCTGACCATGGGATAAACGGTTGAGTTACGGATTCGAACGTAGACTTAAACCTATTCCATGCATCATCAATCGATCCATCAGCATCGACCGACCAGTCAATTGAGATAGCATAGTCCCTGATTGCCGGAATATTAGCTCTCCAGATATTAGGGCGGGGTGGAGCAAATGCAAATCCTATACCATGTATCCGGAACTTAAAGGAAAGTACGACATGGTCACTATTCACCAGCGGGGGAAGGTGTTGAATATCGACGATATCTTCACAGCGGTGTGTGAGGACAAGGTCTATCAATGACGGATTATGTTCCAAGTCTATATGCGTCGGCTTAACGATACATTGTACAAGTGCACATTGAATAATTGATGACAGACGGACGCTATCGAAACCCCCACCTGGAGCTGTGAGCTCTATCCAGTTTATATGGGGTGCATTGAAGTCTCCAACGATGAGACAACATTCTGCTTTACTCCAAGAACAGACGTGTTTTAGGTTAAAGTCGTCAGCGAGACAACACGGACTACGATATATTCCTCCTATCGTCACTAACCCGTTTCTAGACCTAATTGTACAACATACTACCTGACACGTACCACTTACATGCGCCTCCGATATGATCGAGTTATTGCGGAAGTGGTCCCTAATATATAATATTATGCCTCCTCCCTTGCGACTTCTAACTTTATCACTTCTGACACAGATGTAGCCTGAAATGACTGGAGAACAGTCTATATCTACAGTGAGCCAAGTTTCGGTGATAACAATTATATCCGGATTTAAGTCGTCTACCATCAAACTTAGTTCAGACATCTTATTCCGAAGACTACGAGCATTCGTATAACACACATTTAGGGTGTTTTTGGAGACATGCGTTCTACCCACACAAGACATGAAGTCTTTCGGGTCGTTTGCACGCGTACATGCTGGCCTTATTCTTAGATGTTTGCATATTCAGATAGTCTTCTGACGTCTAAAAAGAACCAAAGCTGTTGCTAACAACATTAACTAAGTCCTTTTTCCGTTTATTAGTGTTGGTTGCTGCTACATATAATTTACTAAAAAAATAATTTCACAAGAGGATGTTCAGCTGGTTAAGAAATAATCTACAGTTATATATCCAACACGATCCTATTCATTTATGGTCCGTACGATATATCGTTCTATTCAAAGTTAAAGTAATGACTGATAATCAGGTAATTCGGAACCGTTGTTGTCTACCATTATTCCTAACAGTGCCTTCAGCAGTGTGGTTAATAAATTTGCCCAAAATAATCAATTGCTTTTTTGCCTTCTACTAGCGCAGTTCTGTTTGTCGCGTTTCTCGTTCAGCAAATACATCATCCGACCTGTTTGTTGCCTTTAGGCGCATCATGAGGATCAGACGGTTTACGGGTTCGGCGGAGTTCGGAACATAGCTTAATGAATTGCAGTAGGTAGGAGCAACATATCCTTATATGTTTAACACTTCTCATATCCGCAAAATACATATAAGAAGTTGCTCGTTACTGATACTTGATTCAAGCATACATTTGTTGTTCTCAAGTGTGAAAACATAAATCACAAATGATAAGAATAATTCATAAACCGTGAGGACTGTATATATGAGGCGACATTTTAGTCCTAAATCCGCGAAATCCCAGTCAATACTAAGGCGACCCACAACAGGATGAATACGTGATCCAGTCATTCCGGGTGATACATGGTCACCTGTAGCGGTAAATTAACCAACGAGTAAGTCTTCTACATGTGTTGCTGACGGCATTAGTTTTACCGAACTCACTTAACTGAGAGCGCTTGATCACGCATCCACAGTAGGTCATGAGTGCGGATTATATTCCGAAGTGCGGTTCAGAAATATCCGTCTAATAAATTTTGATTTTAGTAGTAGGTTCCGAAGTTGATTTTGAATGCATATTTGATCAACTGCTACGTGACAGTTTAATAACTATACCAGTGCAATACGATAATATGTTAATCACATGACGTAGTCATTTAAACCACATTCAACGTCTTTATAGGCGACTAATATGATAGCCCGACTCATAAACCTAAATACGTATATCAGTAACGACTATTAATAGATTAGTGGGAAATGTTAAGAGTGGTTTAAATAATTGTTAAATTCAAGCGGTACTTAGATAACATAACGTATATGTACGTTAGGACGCGCGTAAGTTGATGTGAAATTTGGAGATCGAAAAACCTGACTATGTACTTAGAAGTTTTAAACATGACTTATGTCAGCGAAAGTGCACCGTTCAACCCATCCCTTTTAACTACTAGACAGCTTAGAACAAACGACTTAAGAATCACCTAAAGGTCGTACATAAATTATAATCTCATTCTGGAACTGTCTTTGATAACTATGGTTACATTGCCCTAGATAAACAATATATAGAAGCTGTCACTATGGATCCTACTCACAACACGAACAGCAAGAAATGAAGATGAACTTTGATCACTTTTACCGTGTAATTATTGGTTGTTTCAGTTAATGGTATCTGTTAACTTTGGCAGCGATCATCCGATTTATTTGAATGGAAATAGATAGAAAGAAGATTCAACGCTATCTGCATACAAGGTCACTAGTTAATTTAGTAAACAGTATGTGTATTAAGTGTCATTATAATTGCAGCGATATGGAAAAGTAGACCGTTATTTCTGCACGTAGGTAAAGTCATTCCATGTAAATAAGATTATTAAGCTGGGAATGTTAGTCGACAGACAATATGAAAACAAGGGCACGTGTATTCAAGCACTTTGTCGACTTTATGATATTTATAAAAACAAGTTACTGATGGCAACCCATTCACATATATTTAAATATAGAGGATAAAGAAACGCTCATAGTGATAAGTCTTGCTGATTGAACGCTATATTTGGATCCTAAGCTAGTCTTGTACCCCCCAGCTAGAACTACACAACGGCTTGAGCACGAGAGAAAAGGCACAAAATATCTGAATTTATATTTTCGCGATATTTCTAGCAAAACTTCTAATCGAACGCTGATTGGATAAAATGCTTCTTAATGTTTCCCAAGCTTGTCATGTCTATTGCGAGAAATTTTCAAGATCACCCCAACACATATAATTAATATAAAATTTTGTTGTCTTCCATTTGTACATTGCTCTAAAATACACACTTATGTTTACAGCAATTTTCGGCTATGCTTATTGGTAAGCATCCGTAACATGCAAGGTCTCGGCTGAACAAAAAGTTGATATATGGCATCAGTTTCAAATGGCAATATTTGCGATCGTGATCTATCTTAAACTTCTTTTTTTCATGTCGGTAGGTGGACATATACTTTTGTATTCAGGCGACGAGTTCCACTCATTGATCGACCGATGTGTGGAATGATGGACGACTGACAAGTAACTTATTCTGGGCTTGTGAGCTTCGTTAAATTTTCTTCGTTATTACACTGTTTTGGAAAATAAAGTAAGTGAGGGCGTTCCAAAGCAGATTTATGATTAAATGAATTCAAAAGACTGTGATCAAGCCTCCAGTTGTCCTTCCGTGAGACAAAGTAAATCGACTATTTGTGCTCACCTCTCGTCATACGGCAGCTTTTCGATTCCAGGAATCAATTTCGTTGAAGCTCTTTGGACCTATTCTACAACTTTATCCAGTTTTGGGCGGACAAATGACGTATAAAAAATCAAGTGATTTCTCATGGACATTGCTGAACCCTCTACAACATATATCTCAATTTTATTCACGTTTATGTAAATGTGATTTGATGGCAGTTATGAAGAATAATGCAATTCAAAGTATTTATTGACTACTGAGAAGTCTTAGAATAATCATGTTTCTGCAGATCGTATTGAAACTATGAACTACAGTTTCTTTCATATTCACCTTCTAAAAGTACTTATGATCACTCCCACGTGAGGAGTGCTACTTAACCGTTAGCTCTGAGAAAATAGGGAGATTTTTACTGATATGTTACACTGAAGAAGTCAACGTTCGAACTGCATACCTAATTTGCACAATGCATACGACTTCATTTGTGAACGACCATTTATTAACAAAAATCCCGATTCTCAACATTACTCACAAACTGCGCGTTCAAGCCAGTTATTTTAGTTGTAAAAGGCAGGTGTATCCAGCTGACGAATGGGGCATAAACTTTTAAATAGACCACTGTTATTAGACACAAAGTAAGAGCTAAGACGGTTCAAAATTGCGGAAATCACCAAAATAGCGAAATTACAGCAGTAATCTGAAAAACATTGATTCGACGAAGGACATGATAACATGTTTCATGAGATCAAAACGGCATAATTCGCTTTTCTACCATGTCATTCAAAATAAATACAGAGAATGAATGAAGGTCAGGATGAGAAAGTACTTTCAAACGCCAACATTGTGAGATCACATCCAGCAAGCGTTGAGAGACTCAAATGCATAATACTTGCATTAGATTTGTAATGAAAATACCACAGGCGTTTTAGATTGACAACACTTTACCAGCAACACCTTTTATAATTGAATCTCACACACCCAGTGAAATTAAATGCGAGGAGGTTGAGAGATGAATTTGATAGATTATTAATATATCGAAAAGTGACTGATCTAAACTGACTAGTAATCGCAGGAGAAGTTGAGCACGCCGTCCCAACTCGTGATCTGGTGGGGATGCTTGACCGAGCGCCACCAGATAGGTGAGCCCATTAAAACTAATGTAGTCAGCATGCAATGTCGAACACTTACAGAGCTATTGATTTAAGAGATTTATTTACCGCTACATTACGATGAGTATGGCTAACTAATCGTTGAGATTATTATTACACTACTGAAAATAATTCTCGCGATGATAAGCTTCTGTTAAGATGTTTTCATACCCCAAACTTTTTGAATTGAAATAGCTAAATGTTGAGAAAATCAACATCTTAACACTACACCAAAATTTTCACGACGCAACCAATGCTTATTCAAAGCGTACACCCAGTATTTGCCACATATATCAAGGAAAAACATATTACGCATCCAACTGTTGGTTAAACTATTTAGGAAAAAAGGATCATTATTTCCTCCCAACTCGAGACCCAGTCGATCGGTAGAACACTCAAGGGAACAGTCCAGCTGGCTCTCAGTCACACTTTAATTAATCACTATCTTGAATAATGAGTCTTCCAATTCTCAGTGAGGTTGAAAATCCTATAGGCAATCTAAAGCAAGAAAGAGCAGCATGGTCTAGTGAACTAGCCCATGAGAGCTTCAAGTATGGTAGACTAGTATTACCGGTGAATTAAGCAGTACCCGAATTAGACACAACGTATTAGGTAAAGATGGCGAACTGATTGAAGTATGGAATGTTTGTTAGCTGAGTTTGTTGGGACATCTTGCGTGTTTCCATCCACCGCCTAACTTGACGGGCGGTTACCCAGTGTTGTAAGCGGCCTAATCAAGGCATCAGTTTATTTAGTCTACGACAATTGTAAAGACCAATGCTAACAGATGCAGACCAGTTTGGAGTCTGGATCATAGTGACCAGTGGTTAGATGTTTTTAGTGGGATGGCTCGGAAATTTATGCAATGGTGCAGGTGTACCCAGTCTACTTTTCTTCAGATCCTGATTTTCACTAATGTATGCTTTCGTGTGTCGTATTATGGATGCTTAGACCAGCCAAACACCAATCATGCTGCTAATACCTCTACTAATTAATGACTTGGCCTTGTTGTTTTATTAAGTATGCATTTTATTCAAACACATAAATATTGGTACAAGGTAGCACCAGATACATATGCGCCATACAAATCTCATTCGATTTGCTTGAGGGCTGTGATACTGCCCAGGTGAGCAAACCCAAGGAGGTGGTTTCCTTAGGGGGCCACACTCGGAGCCTTTGGCTTAAAGATCTGATCCACAACGCAATGGAGCATTGTAAGGAAATGCAGTCCCATGGTAGGCGGTGACCAGCGATTGGTTCATACGCCATTTGTTCCTTCAGGATACTGGAGCCAATGTGCACCATTGGTTTGGAATCAGGGTTTTTCAACTCCCCTAGGTGGACCAGCGGTGTCCACCAACCCGGTTAAAGCGCCGGGAATTCGCTTTTCGTCCTCTCAATTTCGTGAACAACATCCCCGCTACGAGAAAGCAGTGAGTAGGACTTGAACCTATATACATACGCAACCATATCTCACGTTATGTTTGACTATATTGTTGAGGAACTGTTTAGTGTCATGAAATGCTTGCATCTTTAGTGAATATAGATATAGTATGCAGTGGGAAGAGTACATAGTCGCCTAATCCGAATTTCATAAGTTTTGCATTACAAACAATGAAACCGTCTGCTAATAGAGATGTCACAAAGGTTGATATGACAGAACCACAGTTAAAACGCCAACCTCATATCATGTATGACCTGTCACCAAAGAACCAAGCACAGGCATGCACAACGAAGGCTTCACAAATATGGTACCACAGGTATACAACGGATCACACACAAGTATAAACGTCCGTGTGGAATGTATAAAAGTCTATAATACTTAACAAAAAGAAATAAGCTTTATGAAGTAAATTACACTGTGCACTTTACCGATTACAACAGAATTTAGAAAACTTCAGATTCATATCAATTAAACACAGTACAACTACAGTGATCTACAACTTACAATTTTCCACACAATAAACCACTATTTACTTCAGATATTGGATTTTTATTAACGTTTTAGAAAACAGTGCACAGTAATTCAAAAATGATTTAGTTTTTGATCAAATTTTAATTAATTACAAGTCCAACAGTAAAAATCAGCAAAAATTATTTTTTATCTGGATGTAATATACAACTATGTACAAAGAGCAAAAAACTATAAAAGGCAGCTAGTGGTTGAAACGATTGTTGAAAATAATGATATGATCATCGTTTGGGTTTGTGTTTTGGATTTCTAGACCCTGATTCACGTTTAGAGTGCGTAACGTTAGGGTGAGTGGTTACAGAACCACGTGAGCTGCCTTTTGTAAGATGAGGAACGGAATCTTTACTTGCCAATTTTATAAGCGTATTTGGTGGTAATGGTTTTTGTGAACATTTCGGACAAAACCATTGAGGAACTTCAGGAGCCTTGGAAAGTCCTAAACATGTACTTTAAGAAAAAAACAAGAAAAAGGTAAACAGCAAATAAAAATATTGACTTTAAAGGTTTGAATGGAAATGAGGAAAATTCACAAGGTGATTACGAAGAGTTGACCAAATTTACTACGTTAAAAATACTCTTTCACAAACAAAAATGTACGAATATGACTGAAAAGATTCGGGTAAACTTCAATCAAAACTAATCGAGCAATAAGGGATTTAAAAGGACTTCATTTTGTTAGGTATCTGGAGCTTCGTAATCAGTATAAATACAGGCTAAAATGTAGTCATACAAATTAAGTCTGTTAAGTTAGGTTAAATACAAAACACTACCTACATTTGCGCGATCATCAAGAAGCAAACTATCAGTCACATCTATAGGTTTCTGGTCATTCGGTAAATTTTATGAGGATTGAACAAGGTATGGAAATGTATGACAACTTACAAGCTATATAAAATAATGGTCAGTAGATGGCACAAGTGGAGACACATTTATGTAAAGTTTACTGGTACCTAATCATATCACAAAAACTTCAATAACAGTCTAAATGCTGCCTCTGTATGTTTTTTAGAGATCATAGTGATATAAGCACACTTCATTAGTAACAACCTTTCCTCGAGAAATTACAGTTGGATATTCTGAGAAAATAAAAAGGATGTTCATACTCTGGGCGAATCCAGACACATCACGTTCTTGTGTACATTCGAGTCCAAGATCAAATATCAGGTGGAATTTCGAATGAGGCATGCCAATGAAAAGCGTCTAATTCCTTGTTAGTTATTCATAGGACCCGAATATTCTGAAATATTGATACCCAGCCTATATTCCAGATATTATAGGTAGTAGACTTAGTAGTGTTTTGAATGCTGACAGGAAAATTGCGCACACCTAGTATCGCTTGGTACAGTCTTATTACTTAATTTTTTTCGGAAACTTAACTTGGTTGAGCTATTTGACTTTGTCGAAGTAGATAGCGCAGTGGACGAGTCACAACGAGATTCAGTGTTTTGTCTAGCAACTCTATCACTTAATATGATTTATAGAGCTTATGTGATATGATGACTAACGAAACTGACTTAAATCAGAGGACTTTTCTGAGCGTTAATGAGCTTGTCGGTTATTGAAAAATCGTAAACACAGAAACGTTGCAAAATAAAGCTCATTGATTAACAAAGCCACCAGCAAATTTAAACTAGATTCACGGTGCCCTGTAAGTGGAGCAGAGAAGATTATCGTCTGCACTTCCCATTCAGCTGAAAACTAGTTTTACAACTACAATTGTTTGAAGATGAAAAAATTGTTCATTAATGAAAGGAAGTTCAGTTTAACATAAGCGCGAACATTATCAAAATCCAGGCAAGTAAATACGAAAGAGCACGAGTTCAGCTTACATCGATCTTGTCAGTGAATAATTGCCATGTAATGAATCAGATTATTGACGTTAAACAGCGAGAGAGACAATGTAGTATATACGTAATCACTGGACCGATGTTCCTTCCACAAGAATAGTTTAAGTTCTGAGCATATCTCCAAGATATGATCCACATAATCTGCAGTAATCTCAGAGTTAATACGGGTAACAGGTGGACATATACAAATTTATACATATTTCACCTCTTCTCAAGCAAACCTAAAGTTTCTTACACAAGTTTATAAATAGAGCGCCAGAATAACCACCAGTGGGCTGTTTTAACAAATGGTTCTAAAGCTCATAATATGGAAACTGTTTCACACTGAGATTATAGGTCGCATCAAATTTTCTGATAGATGAACTGAACAAATAAACATTGTCAATCAAAAAAGGAAACTGAGAAACACCTAAAACTAACTATTGAATTTCCTGAGTTTTTAGAAATTCCTTCGATAGAAAATTGTAAACGTGTGAACTCTGTATCCGTGTTACTCATTATAACCAAAAGAGTGGAAATCTTCACTATTTAATGACAGATAATCATTATGACTATTTAATTTAACTTACCTATGGTACCAATCTTGACAATTATCACAGCCAATCATCAAATTGCCATCATCTTCCAGTAAACAAATAGGACATAACCATATTTGCTCACCATCATTATTCTACGATTAAGTACGCAAAACAGTAAAAATGAATATATATGTATAGGGTAATCCACTGCAAACAAACACCAGCTATACAAAGATCCGTTTAGAAAGATATTACAAAAAATTGCTGTTAAGCTTTAAAAAATAACGGAATGGTATGCAGCAATAAATTTGTCTCGATTCCTATCACAACCTGGGGTTACTAATTTCGGGAATTCTTATTACTATTATTACTACTAAAAGTCTGAGTTCATGATATCTAGCTGACACTAACTCAAAGAGCACAAATGCCACTGACATAAGTCAAGTAAATACAACTCATGAATAAGTTACAAGTCATTATAACGAGTCTTGAGGAAAAATTGTTAAGTAGGCTTTGTAGATACTACCGAGATACAAATCGTAAGTTTATTGTTTACTAGGTTGGTACTCAAATAAGTGAGTAACAATGATACAGTAACAAGATAGGAAACTATGATCTATGGTGAAAAAAGTATATTTTCCTAACTAGTAGACACTCGATTTCAGAGCCCATCAATATATATATATATATATATATATAAACATGGTTATTCAGTTAACGAAATGATTAATGTGTTATGGATACTTCACAGATGCTCTACTAAAGATTAAAAGCTTTCAACTTGACCACAAGCATATAATCTACAAAGATTACAACGATTTACGCAAAACTACATTAGGAAATATTTTCTTTTAGTGTTTTTATGTTGGATATCGGTAGCTGACAAATAAAAATGTATGAACATCAAAATAATGCTACAACATTTTCAACAAAATGAGGGTGGGGTGTTGAATAACCATTTTCTTTACTTACAAAATAATATGAGCTGCCAGCAGATTCAACAACGATTTGTGAAGCAGATTCACGTTGAACTATTTTGGAAGAGATGTTAATACTTGATGGAGTTTTGGTTGGTGACGCGGGTATGAGTTTGGATCGGCCACGAACTTTCCCACTTTTAAGTGATACAGAACTTTTCGTACTACTGGTATGAGACGATGATTTGGTAGCAGGACGATATAAAGACTTCTTGTTATACAAACCAGTGTGTTTTGTTCGTGGTTGAGTTTTCAAAGGAGATAGAGTAGAATTAAGAGAGGGAGCTAAGGAATTTGCAGGGGGATTAGATATATACATATTTTGGCTGTTAGATGGACGAAAGGATTTTTGGTTATTAACTGAGTCATTTGAACATGAAGCTGTAAGTGATAACAGAGATTTTTCTTCGTTTTTAGCATCACTTTCATCATCTGTAAAAACAGAATCCACTGTTGCACGTGGTCTCTTAACAATTGATTCAGTTTTTGGTGAATGAACTGCAGAAGACTGGATCAATGTTTTTCGCTTGGCTAGAGGCAAACGAGAATCTTGATCAGTAAGCCTTCGTTTTCTCCTGTCACCGAGACGTGAAGCTAACGAAAAAAATATTGGACGAAACTAAATGGCCATTCAAGTACCATACTTTAAACTTACAGCTACATTTACGAAAAATTCGAAGCAATAAAATGTTTGGTATATTTGCATGGTTACAACAGAAAATTCTGTGCTGTGTTACCTATGCGTGCCGTTAAATATAGATGATTTATTGGCACATTTATTTAGTGATAAAGTAATGGCTCAGTGATTGATATATCTGACTTTTAAGCATTAAGACAAAGGTTTAGGCCTACATAGGTTTGGGGAATCAGGTAGGGATGAAATAAAATAACAGAGTAACTCATTTACCAAGTACAGGTCTATATACTATGCTTTGAGCCACGCTTTAAGTATAGGTTAATGATATTATCCTGCTACTCAAACCGAAGTACGTAGAGCAAAATTTTAACCAATAGTCGACTGGTTAGAAGACGAATCCTTTAACCACTAAGCCACCGCCACCTCATGTAAAAGTGCGTTATATGAGTTACATTACAATCAACCAACTAGATAGTTTATTTAGTGCTATGATACGACATTCTGATATTGCCTTATATTAATTACGTCAGTGACAGTTTTTTTCAGTCCATAAAGTCATTAACTGTCAATGTGAACAGTGAGAATAGTTGTATAGTCTCGGGTTACAGTCTACGTAGTACTCCCAACCTATAATTGAAAAACTTAGAGGACATAGCTTGAAATCTGTTGTAGCTGGTTAAGTGCACTCATTGTTTGTCTTCCTCTGAATTATCAGTTAGCTATTATCATATACATCTAAATGGTTAATTTCATACGTTACTTTTGAAATATAGTTTACCCCTATCGTTGTTTTATATATCATCTTCAGTCCTAAGTTCAACATCTCCATTTATTTGCCACCTGTGTTGAGTGTGAAATGTGGCAATTAGGAGTGATGTCCATGTACCTGGGTCCCAAATTGTTTGTGACTGAATAATGGTATAATTCAAAGTATTAATTACGTACAACTTAAGGTATTCTCAAGAATAAATGACTACTTAAAAGTCTCAGAGAACACAATATTTGATGAACTTAACGTCATTTGGATTCGTTAACGAGAGGGAATCTATGTTCGTGTCCATAGTAGACCTACATACGTAAATCTATACATTCTGCTTTCAGAGTATAGCCACATGTGTAGTTCTAATGTAAAAGCTATTAACATTGAACAAACAAATAAAGACGTGAAATTCTGAGAGCTACGCTTTAGTGAATCAGCATTAATATTTTAAATGATGACATATTAAACAAAAGGATCATGGTAGTTTTAGATTGTAAGCTTATACTTGACTTATTTACCGTTTCTGTTATCTCGAACCATTCGAAAACGGCTTTAAATTTATGGTGAAATCACTACGTAAATTTATACCACAATAAGCCCTAGCTACGGACATACTGGAGTTTTCTATTTATAGTACTACACAGCGTATGCATAGAACCACATGAATTTTAAAGCCTGAGTAATACAGAATAATACAATATATTTAGTTAGCTTTTCAAATGTTCTAACTGGCGTTTTAGGAATGAAAGAATTCAGTGTGGGATATTGAGCTTTACCATACACATAAGCCGAGTTTGAGGAATTAAATGTACACGAAATCACAATAAAAAGTAACATAACAATGACCATGAGAACAATTAATAAAACTAAGAAAAATTCTGTATCACGTATCATAGTATTCCACTACCAAATATCCCTTATCAAATAACATGAGAACTTCTATATAATTCACTGGCAATCCCTGATTTCTTAATCTTTCTCCACCGGCTCACTTTAAAGTGTCAAATGACCAACAGTGTAATTTTTCATGCGAGTGTATCTTTAGCACAACAAAATACTTTTAGTGCATGTGAATACAAAATCAATGAGGCTTACTTGATTTTGAATTGTCACTATGTGAAGACTGTTCTGTTGAAACTGGAATTGACTTAGATGACTGTGAGACAGACTCTATTTGTTCCGAAATCGAAGAAAATAACGGAAGAAGAGGTGGGAGGTGACAATGAGTAGCGGTAGGATTAGGACCATTTGATATAACTGTGCCTGGTGAAACCATCTGTTTTAAAGGCGAAATACTGTCTGATTTGTTTATACTGCTTGTTAGGGATGGAGGTGGCAACTGAGAATGATGAATTGAATGTCTTTGAGTGGTAGGTTTATTCGTTAGGAAACCACCGTGAGCTGGTCGAGGTGGCAAGCGTTCCAAAGAAGGAGGCGGTGGTAAACTCCCAGTCCCCGTAGGACTAATGTGAGGATGAACAACTACTTCTTCTTCACTACTTGAAAGACTTCCTGTAATTGTTGAACTCGAATTTGATGCATTTGAATCGCTACCTTGTGAAGCAGTGCGGCCTCTATATTTTAGTCTATCGCGAGAGATGGTCAATTGTAAAGGAGGTGGTGGGGTTATTAAAGAACTTGAATGCTTCTTGTCGATAACTGAAGTGGGATTTTCTGAATAATTTGTCAGATTTTGACTAACCGACTGAATATGTGTAGGTGCAATAGTCTGTGACTGAGATGCTGCGGTTGGACCATTCCCGAGGCGAATAACACTGAATAGGAGGAAGTAAACAGACAAAAAAAGTACAGAATTACACTCAAAAATTGGAAAATATTTCTCGAAATTTGAAGTGAATTATGTGGGAAATGGGAACAGACTACAGATCTGATTGTAGACCTATGAACCCTTAAGATTTTCAGCTGATAACAATACGGTATATCGATTAAGAGATAGTCAAAACCGATAAACAAGGCTAATTGTTTTTCGTAACAGGTTTAAAGGTAACTTATTTGCTAAATACAAGGTCATGTACCCGGCACTGTTTATGTAAGGACTAGTGAAACGGAAGTAACAACAACAGAAGACAAAATTTAATTTTCATTTACCTTGTATAGAAGATACTTGATATTAACAAGGTGTTCGATAATGGCTCTTCATATGTATCAACTACTGAAATCTCTTAACCACGAATAATGTCCTTGGACCCCCTTAGACAAAACAAATATCAAATGACCGATATTCTTAGTATCATAGAGACAGGCGAGCTGATAAATGCACATTGAAGCGCTGAGATAGACCAGCTTATACTTTAGGTTATTGGTAAACATAGGTCTACTAAAGACCACTAATACTAATTTTCTTAATTTTATACACAGTTGTTTTAATCATTTCGAAGAGAGCAAGAACAAAGATTCTAAGAGAATAACATGAATTCATTTTATTTCGTTTGGTTCTTATCAGCTGCTTACAACCTATGATATTAAAAAACATAATTACAAGATGGATTTGTATTACTTACATGAAGGAGTTTAGTTGGAAGTTATGTTAAAGACATATTAGTATAGTATAGCAAAAGTTTGATAAATTCAGTAGACTGAATATTGTAAATATATATCTTATGTTAAAGAATATTCTACAACACTGATTGTAACAAGAGTTCAAACGGCCAAAAACAAGTGATTGCGTAATGAGTAAACGCTGATAGGAATAAATTGAGTACATCTCAATTAATAAAATAAGATTACTAATATGGAAGACAGTAGAAATAGTAAGAAAAAACTCAATGTAATAAATGCAAGAAAGAGTTTCAAGAAGTGTTTGAAGATGCAACGAAGGAATATTTGTCACTAAGGCAAGGAAAGATTAATAACCAGGTGTTTGAAGTCTGATACCAACGGCTTCAACAAGCTTGAGAAGACTGGAGTTTGGTTGTTTATTAATCACTTTAAAAGATTGCAAGATATCAACCTGATGTCCGGTATCAAAAAGATGTTTGGTAATCGCACTGTTTAAAGTTGTAATTTCTCTTGGTCTAAGGCTTTTTAGAATATGCTTAAAATATCTAAGATATGACCTTCTTTCTGTTCGTCCAATGATGCTGTTTTGGTAGGTGCACGTAAATTTATAAACAGTAGGCGGTAATATGAAAAGAATGCTTGTAGGCCTTCGATCGGGTTATTGAACATGTTGTTCTATACAGAATTAATAGTTTGGCTACCTGGTAAGTTTTGGCTAAGGCAGTGTTAAGCCTTCTGCTGATTGTGCTTGAGATGTCATCACCTTTGAAGTTGAGATTTATAATTATTGGTATTTTACTGACTGCAGTCACTTCCGTCTTGTTTTGATCAATGCTTTCTCGTAAATAATTGGTCAAAAACTATTGAAATTCAGGTAAAGGCCATTCCAAGTACTTTTTCGATAAACCGAACGTTGAACTGTCCCATCTCTCCTACATTTTATGGCAATATCAAGAAAGTGGAACATGTCATTCTGTTCGTGTTCCATAGTAAATCGTATGTTAGAATGAACACAGTTGAAAAGTTTTAAAAGGTGGACTGAATATTTATTTATTTGAACACAAACACAAGTACAAGGGGGATACCAAATACAAATGCTCCACACAATAACAATGAAGCTGTGAAGAGGTATTGAATGCAAATTGTGTACAATAAAAGAACAGCAACGAACAGAAATTAGTGTGAGTAAATAATAATGATAATAACAGTGGGAGAAACAGCTCAATTAGCAAAAATATAACGAGAAAGAATTCTGTCCATTAAAGAAGTTACGTTCATTTTTATAAAGTAAAGTAACTTCAGGAACGCCACTGACTTCTATTCTGAGCCAGGTCTGATAACATCTCTAGCCGCTGTGTTGCACTAGGATCCGAATCAGGGAGTCGTAAAGGACAAACAGGAGCCAGTCCTGTACAGCTTTCTTCCATACTACGACACCATGTCATACACTGACCATCTCTCCATTTTTCCAACCAGTCCCAGCGCCGGCACATGATGCTCGGCGTGGAATTCTCTGGGACAATATTCGTAGGACATGTCAAAGCCACCGGAGTCGATATCCCAAGATGGTGACACCATTTGAATTGTCGTCGCTGTGACCAAACACAGAAAGTTGAACCTCTGCATTACTAACATAGTGTTGCCATTGGATGTCAGAAATCCTTCGGAGACAACGAATATCAAACACAGAGCCGTTTACCATGCATAGAGCAAAACTGCTTTCACTGACACGTGGATCCGACCTTTTACAGCCAGACTAACATCACGAAGGCGCCAGAAATAGCTCAGATTGACATAAGCCGCTCTAGCTTTTACTATACATGCATTGATTTTATCACTCACCAACTTCACGACTACTTCTATCTGCTCACTGCCCAGGGTGAATGCAGGATCAGGGCCCTGCCAGTCTTTGCACTTCGAAGGTGCACAGCACATGCCATACCTACGGACATTGATTGCAAATTGATTAAGTGTGAATTGTTTGGCTTGGGTATCATCGCACAGTAAGACCACATCATCTGTATACTAAATGTCGAAAGGTGTTTCACCAGACAACAGATCCACACCACCATTGCCAACATCCATCAGAGCTGTTTTCCAGAACGTCATCGATAGCAAAGTTGAAGAGGAGTGGTGAGATTAGACAATTCTGTCCAACCCCAACGCTTAGATGGAACAATGGTGAGAGGTGGTTGTATGCCCTTACTGTACCCGAGGAGTTTGTACATAGGGTTTTTAAGATGTTAATCAACCTCTCAGGCAGACCTTTCTTCAATAGAAAATCCCAGAGAACAATTCTGTCCAACGAACCGAAGGTGGTTCTTATGTCAAGAAGCACTATGATAATCTATAGATCAGAATTCTGACAAATTATATCAATAGTTTTAAGAAGTAGTATCCTGGTGAACAAAGATGTGACATTAAAAGAAACCATGAACTTACCGGGAACATTCGTACGATTTAGCCTGTCAGTAAAATGAAATGAATCTCTTAACGTGTATGTTGTTAATTTCTGACGAACTGGCTCTAGCCTCTTTACTAGCAAGTGTGCAGCTTTGTGATACGTCTATGAAGAACGTCATGTTTGTGAATTTTTGATAAACCCTACATACGAGACAGACGTGAGCAGCGTGGTCTTAGATCATTGTAAGTGGAATTAGCAATCATGTCCCTTTGTAGAAAATTTCTAGGCATGCCTGTTGTTCGCTTTTCTGTTGACTCAGTGTTGGGGATGTCAAATCCCCAGAACTTACTTGGTAAATGGCTTAGTTTTGTAATTTTATTTTGAAAATTTGAATTTAGCTGTTTCCGCGCCAAACGCGCTCTTTTTACCTTCACGTCATATCTCCCACTTGTAAACTGTCTTAAACGATATTGGTCCATTGTTTCTTTGTGTGTGCTATTTACCAATGATGCTCAAGGACAAATTGTTGTTGTATAAATGCGCTTGACTTTTTCCCTTATTCGATTGCTTGTACTCGGCTGCTTACGGGATACATATATATTCCCCTACTTGCCTTGGACTTCTTCATCTAGTTAGCGGGGCCTGGGACAACAGATTAGAATAGCTTATCGTGTCATTGGCTTTCGTTCGTTACCGCGGAATCGATTCAGTTCAAGCATAACAATTGGCGACGGGGACAAAAGAGAAAAATGACGCTCCCTCCTGACCGCTTACAGTTGCTCTTTGACCGACATTTGGAGTTCATGGTCACAATACGCACACAGTTTCTGGATCATCAATGCTTCACATATGCGTCGGAAGTGAATGTTTTAATCTCTGAATTACACACAGAGCTGGAAAATGATCGCAACCCCCATGATTCCTCAACAAGCCGCAACCTAAACGAAACAGCAGTATCACAAGACACGCCCGGTTGTCCATCACTGTTCATTTCAGAAACGTGCCCGGTAGTGGATTCAAACCCCACTATCCCTGAAGTAGCATGTCCGAACAGTGACGCTCCCAGCTCTCATAAACACGATGCCATGTCAAATGCCCATGAAATTGTTGCACCAACCACCCACAAAGTGCCAGACATCATATCGAGCAGCACACCGAGCGAATCGCATTCTGCGATAGAAATGTTTACCGAATCTAATGCCAAAGATTCCCAAGCTTGTCCATAAAATTTGTTACATGCATCAAATCTGGAACCTAGCGCAGTTTTGGTGGACGCTGTTTATCATAGTGATCCACAACCTGCCAGTGATGTTTGCAATAAGTCTAATGACTACATTTCTGCAGAATCGAATTCTGACCTCACATCAAATGGCGATCCTCACCATCCAGTCAATCTTAGCAGGTTCCCTATTGAATGCCAGAAACATGTTATAAATAGAATCGCATTAATAGAAACTTGGGTATATGAGGATCCAACACTATTTCGTGGGGGAGGAGGAGCTCGGATTTCTTAAAAAGGGGAGGTGTTGGGGATGTCAAATCTCCAGAACTTACTTGGTAAATGGCTTAGTTTTGTAATTTTATTTTGAAAATTTGAATTTAGCTGTTTCCGCGCCAAACGCGCTCTTTTTACCTTCACGTCATATCTCCCACTTGTAAACTGTCTTAAACGATATTGGTCCATTGTTTCTTTGTGTGTGCTATTTACCAATGATGCTCAAGGACAAATTGTTGTTGTATAAATGCGCTTGACTTTTTCCCTTATTCGATTGCTTGTACTCGGCTGCTTACGGGATACATATATATTCCCCTACTTGCCTTGGACTTCTTCATCTAGTTAGCGGGGCCTGGGACAACAGATTAGAATAGCTTATCGTGTCATTGTGTCATTGGCTTTCGTTCGTTACCGCGGAATCGATTTAGCTTCAAGCATAACACTCAGTTAAATCTTTGTTGGATATATCTACCATGAATCTTAGTTAGTTGTTTAGGACTGAGCGAAATAAAATGAATTCATGCTCTCTTCATAATTTTTTAATGTTCAAATGGTAAGAACGCTATTTACCGAAAACATTAGAAAATAAACCAGTATCCTTCCTTACATATGAACATATACAAAGGACTAACATTATTTGGATGTAACATATTTTTATATCCATATTGACTATTAAACAGCTAAAACAGACCTCATATATCAACCTAATAAAGTTAATTTTAGGTGGAGTTTTGTCTTCTAATCTGGATGGCCGGGTTGCGGAGCTTTCATTATTCTGCTGATAATCAGAAAAAACTTCAGGTAGAAGAGGAGTATTTGAATTTCTCCACATATGACTCAGTTTGTCCTGTCGACCTCGATCTTGATTGGTTATTGTCTACTCCTTTATCTTGACTGTATCTCTTTTCGATTCGATTCTCGGTCCTATATTTTTCCATGACTTTTCACATTGGTTGATAGATTGGATCGATTTCGATGTGTTTATTGATTGACCTGAGTACCCAGCTTCTAACAATTCTCCCTCTGTACAATATTTCAACATTTTTCCAGTCGAATGTACGTCCACAGTTGTCAACATGCATTGATGTAAGCGAAGATATGTCATGGCATTTGACCGCTAACTGATCCTCATGAAGGCGAAGGTGAAGAGGGCGTCCACCTTGTTCGATACACTGTTTTTTTGCAATAGGAAGTTTATTTTGTAGATGATGTTCGGTGTTTCTTCTTCCATTTTCTCGTCCTTTGGTTTGCATAGAATTGAAGTGATTTTGCTGGTTTGTGTCCTACACCTATTCCGAACGGCTTTATTAATCTCGATGTAATTTCTGATATTTCTTTTACATATAGTAGGATGATCCGTTTTCTGGATTCTATGCATGATTTCGTTTCTGTTGATGAGTTAGGTTTGATACTTTTTGGTGAGGTTGCGTGGGTAGACATTTTTTAGAAGGATAGTTGTTAGATATTTTTCTTCATTTTTCTGCGCTGTAGTGTGTTGAGAGAAAACTGTAAGCTTAAAGGATCCATAAAAATTAACGAATTTGGAGCAATTTTGATAAGTGTTCGACAAACAAAGGGTTTTTAAGATATATAGAAATAGGGGGTCTATGACTTAAAACGCACTTATTTATATGGCTATAAAAGTAAAGAAGCATCAGATTTGGTGGAGCGTTAGTAAACTGCACAAAAAAAGTTTATATTTCTATTAGACGTGGTTACTAGAACTGACATTACATAGTATCATGTCCTTAAAGCTTATGTGAATGAATTGGACAAACATACTACTGAAAAAATAGAAATAATGAAAAACTCCTAAATTAATATAATAGATAGATGCATACGCATAAATTAGGCTATGAACTACGCTGTGAATAGGCGTTAGCGATTATATTTCAATGAGTAAATCATGAGATATGAACAGTGGTTTAAAGTTTTGATAAAAACATTAGATATCGTATCAAATAGATATTAGAAAAGGTGGGTAAACTATGCCTTACAGGATCGCCTAGAAATGCATGCAAAATTATTCTAGGAAAGCACGAGACGAAAACTTCAATAACACTGTTTGAAATCAAACTCAATTTGCTTCCTAGGCATCTTGAGGAACGTAACAACCCCTATTTTCAAACAGTAGGCACACAAACTGTTTTGTCATCATCTGCTCAGCAATGTAATCACTAAATTTTATTTCTCAAGAATGGACTTTAATAGCACTTTGACACTGAGTTAGTTAGTAATTGTTTTTATATGGGACTAATAAATTTATGAGCTGACAAGAGTCAGAATAAACGCGTTAAGCATGAAACATTGGCTGAATTTTATTCATCACTGACAAGGGAGACAACTCACAATCTAGAAACATTTGAAGATAAAATGTTCGATCTTTTGTTTTAACTCACATTTGTAAACTGGTGTTTTCATGTATAAACTCCAGTAATTAGACATGCAAAAGGAATCATGACTACACTAAGTAGATTAATAGTGGAGTACACTGCACTTTATCCGCAATAATTTCCAAGTAAATTACATATATTAAAATACCTGTTCGTAATGAACAGATTTTATATAGATTAAGATGGATTAATGAACTTACAGCTTTGGTGTTTTTTCTGTAAATGTTGTCGACTGAGACAGTGATGCAGAATGGCTACTTGGTCTAATAAAATAATTATGAAAGAGAAGAATATACATATAAAAAAGTTGTTTAGGATCACATTTCAATATTGTAACCAAGTAAAATGCAGAAATTCACTTTTTTATATTTTAGCCCCTTATTTTGAGATAACTCAAATAATAAATCCCATTATTCTTAAATATGTGAAAAGGTGATATATCGGTTAATCCAGTGTGAAATCCAATATTTGCAGAATATAAAAAATTAAATCCTATGGTAAGTGAGTATATTTTATGTTGTGATTTTATTGTTATGCCATACAGCTTTTTTAGGAATTTATGATTATTACTATATAGACTTCTCCAAAATGTCGCTGTTAAGTTTTCCTAGTAAGCTGATTTAATTGAGATTAACTCACTAGGAAACCTATTGATTTGATTATACAATTACTTTATATTGGATGGAACTCTAAAATTTAAGGACTACTACAAATTGGAAAGTCAGAAAAAATTATTTAAAAATCATTATTAAATGAAGAAACAATTGTGTTTTATTTAAATGACCAGAATTTCTAACTAAACTATCCATAAACTAAGTATTTTATGCAGCCCTACGATTATAAGTTTCAAGAGATATTGTTCTAGAATAAACAGACAAAACTTTTAGAAGATGAACTGATCTGAAAAGTGTAACCAGCGACAAAAGTAAATTATTTAGGATCTATGCCTCAGTAGATGCGATACGGTCTAAACATTTACTGAATTCCCCATATGAACAAATGGGAAATATCGGCATTTTCCATATCGCTAACGCCATATAAATCTTCCATGCGGCAAAGTAGCCCCATATTGGTTACTTCCTAATTCTTATCAACAACAATAACACTGTCCACCTCAATGAATCTTTTCCCACCTTGAAATCTTTATTAACAATTCGAGTCCGTGATGCATCACTATTAGTCTCGTGTTACCAAGCTAACGGTTGAATTTTTGAGCTACTAACATTAAAACCTTATAGGACTCTATAAAGTACCTCCCTAGCTAGAACTCCGTTGTTATGGTTGTTCTGTTTATGAAAACACATGAAGGCATTGAGGTAGTTTTATCACTTAATCTGCCCTGAATAATGTGATGTAGCGGCACAACTTAAAGAATCTCTGATGATTTAACGGTAGGTCCTTATAAACTTGCAAGTATGACAACAGAAGCAAATCCAGAAACAGAAAGAGGGATCGCAGTTAATAGTATTATTCACGATACTCGGATAATGTTACACCATAGAAACAGGTATAAGGTAACCTAAGAAAGATTATCGTTAGAAGTTTGCTAAAAACTTGGGGAAAAAAACACACCACATATCGCATAAAGATAGGATACGACATTGTGAAACGGAGTCTTCTCTACAGAAGGTTAGTTTTCATCTCATGTCAATCGTAACATTCAATTTTTCTTATAAATATTCTCTTTAATTTAATTATCAGTCATAGAAGAATTGTACAGAAAATAATAAAATCAATCACCTGTCCTTATCCACTGGGTTCAAAACAATATTTTCATTTAGTTCCCTTTTGAATATCTGGGTTGAACTTTGTGACTGTATGTAATGAGTTGTTGAATTGTCTTCATCTCCTGAAGTTGACTCTGATGAGGATAAGGAAGAAGAAGATGAAGGGGAAAGAGATGAAGCAAGATGTTCTTCGTTTAATGTCCCGCCGCCTAGTTTAATTGTAATACGTAATCCCCCATTTTTATCGCTGATTTGCTTAGATGACAATGGCTGTGAATTTGTAAAGAAGCAACTGCTGGAAGTCGACACTAGCTCCGACTGTCTGGACTAAAAGGAAGAAAATAGTATTTATATCAGGACTTTACAGTTTCCGGCCTAAACTAGTATTTGTGTTTATAAATGTCCAGAAACTAATTATCACTGTACGAAGTAGTTTATTTATAATGAGCAATCGAATGATGAATCATTTCAAGCTTTAAAATCAACATAAATATATGATAGTCAAACTAATACGTCAATTAAGATAGTCGTAACTTGGTAATCCAACCACGATGTCAAAAATCAATAATTCCTTAAGATGCTAAAATCTGTTGAATTATTATTAATTATCACCATTATAACAGCGACTAGAATAGCACTGATCAGTAGTGGGCTTTAGATCTAAGACAAGTTAATTAAAGAATAAGGAAAAAATGACAATATTTATTTACTGTCTTTTGAACACTTTTTGTCTTTTAAGTTAGAATTACGATCAATCCCGAAAGTTTGTAGTTCGATTGATTCCTCGAATGGACTCATGAAAAAATGTCATGTAAATATATAAATTGCAGAATTTACTGATAACACACATAATAATGAAATGAACTTACAGACATCAAGGTAGGAGGAAGTGTCGCGATATGATCACTTTCAGTGGATATTGAAAACAAAGAGGAAGAACATCGCTTTTCATCGGCCGATTTACTAGATAAAGGAAGGAGAGGTGGTGGTCCAACTCCTAATGCATCCACCGGTGGAGAGACATTATGAGTAGTATGTATTTTATTATTGCAAGAAGTGGCCGGAGAGGTTTTTTTGGAATCTGAAAAATCTACAGGAGATAGATTTGCATTGACAGTTTTCTGAATACAGGAACTTGAAAATAAGGACTTATTTACACCTTGAGAAATGTCACCTCCGTAATTATCACAACCTTTCACGTCATTCATTTCTGACTTTAAAAGCAGTGGTTCTTCGGGTGAAGATTTTGAAGTAGAAGAAGAAGAGGAGAGGGAGGAATCAAGAGATGACGGAGAAGAAGGTAATGATCTTAAAGTAATTGATGCATGCTGTTGCAATTTACCAAAGCTTTCTTTGTTAAATACCGAATTCTCTGACTTCAAAAAGTGATTATTGGAAACGACATTTAAGGTGGTTGATGATGTGTCCCTCACATAACTAGTATCTATAGAGAGAATTCTAAGAAGTTCTGCTCTTTCACTAAATGTCATGGGTTCAGTTGTATCTGATGCTGGGGAGCAGATAGTTTCCATTTTTACATTGGAAGAAGACTGTGTGATGGTAGGTTCATTTTTTAGAGAATCATGAGGAGCATCTGCGTTTAGCCCTGTACGCCTTCCCATTTTATGTACTGACCGAGTCGGTCGAGAACTCTTTAAAGGGTTATCTGAAACGACTGCAACAGTTTGGTGATCATTTACGTTATTTTCAACCTTAGGTATACGTTCGAGACTTTGAACAGTTTGGAAAGAACGATTCTGTAACTTGATGGAAAGCTGAAAAGGAGTAAGAGACGAGAATAGTTTAGTTGGAAAATAAGTCTATCAGTCAAATATAAACAGTTAGTCAGCCATCTACAATGTAGAACCGGGCATACACATGCATCGGTTCAAGTTGCCATACTTCGTTAGCAAAATAAGATAAACATTAAATTCACAGAAGCAGTTACTTCAATGGTAGTAATATATAAAGCAAGATTGTATATAAGGATATGATACAGGGGGAAAGAATTAGTTCGAAGAAAGAAAGGTATAAAGTGATTTTAATCTCAAGGTTTAAGGGAAGATAAAGAGTGTTATGGCAACTCGAACTGATGTACGTACATACGAAGTTCTACGTTGTGACTGACTGACGTCCAACTCCCAGATTTTAGCTAAAATATTAGTCAACCTAATAGCTAAAAATGGACCAGTTTCTCTTTATCGTTTCAGATTAGCTATATATTTTTGAACTTTAATTAGAGTTGGGGGAGGGCTATTTCAATGTTTCATTCAGGTTGTTTGGAAATGGTGGGTAGCTGTAAATATAACACAGAAACTAGCGTATATAAATATTGGTAAGGACTACTACAACTCCAATTCGTGCAGCAACAGAGAAAAATGTGGTAAAAAGTAAGAAAGCAGAGATGATAAAATTAACTGTGGTGTTAAACCATACACCAGACAAAAATTTTATGCACAGTTGGAAGGTGTCGTTTAGCTTTTGACACTTGTAATGGTATTTCTTAACGCGTTCCCGGAAAGACTAGGATCATGCTTTTCTGGAGAATTCGTGATTAATGTAACCTTTAATGTGATGGTTGAGTACGCGATTTGTTTTTCTGCCAAGTGGTACGACAAAAACATTTATCCATTGATTTTGGTAGGATGACGTTTTCATGAACTGTTCTAGCAGTTTTCAGGCATAACAGTAAATAGAATCATTTTGAAAAATACGCGATATATCGGATAATATTATTTGTAAAATTACTTCGGTATTGACAAACTATGAAAAAGTGGATTATTATGTTTAACCTTATCCAAAATATTCAATGGATTTATAAACGTAATAACATACATCTAAAGGCACATTCCAAAAAAAGCGACACATTCATTAATTTTTAGCAGCATTAACCTTACCCAGAATTGTTTATTTCGAATTCTGAGATAAGAAAAAAAATCCACAAAACTGTATAATCGTCTAGAATTATCAATAGCCTTTTAGGACTTGAATGCTAGTGACCGCTTACGTAAATCAATACACATTTATGTGATTCCAGACAGACTGCTTAAATTTATCGTAACAACCGATCTCATAAATGTTGAGTTCACATACTACTATAAATTTTTGTATTACTTAAGCATTTGAAAATTGACTAAAAAGACTAAATAGCGACTTTCGGATTAGATTCATTCAACAAACTGGTGTACAACTTACTGGATCTGAACACTTCCGCAAAGGATTTTGAAATAAACTATTAAATGCTGAAACTCTACACTTATCTCTTCTTCGTCCACGAGCTTTCCGTCTAAATTGGTGTGGTTTAAGTCGTACACTGTTTTGAGTTCCTGATGAAGTACTTTTTTCCGAAATGTTCAAAACCTTCAAGTCAGATAGTTCAATATCAACAGATTTCATGCGATTCTCCAGTCGCTTCGGTGAAGTAACTAAACTAGATGATAATACATCAGTAGATGTTATCAGGCAATCACTATTTACAGGATTCCGTAATGGAGGAGTGCATGGTGAATCATGATCGGGATAATCTTTTCCATTCCATACAGTTTGTTTTTCATCTCCTGGATCTACTTTAGGTGCCATAGAACTATCATCAGTGGCTTTCTCTGGTAAGGTTACGGATGTTTCTTCCGAAGATTTAGGCGAATCTGAAAAAAAAAACAGCATTGGGAAGATCAAATATTTGTACACAACTCCAATAATGTTTGAGGTGATACTGGAAAGTTTATTGAACGGTTATCAAGCCTGTAGATGTTGTGCACGATTTTCAACATTACCGGTTGCCATATAATGAATGCCTGAAATATTCTATGTAATTCGCATAAAACACTAAACCACTTAAATTACATTGGTTACTTGTTAAAGTAAATCTCAATTATGAAATGTATAGTGACCATCAATAGATATATTATTCCACATGGTCAGTATGTAGTCATCTATTATGTACAAGTTTAAATATAAGGATTTCCCCGATAAATCTTCATCGTAATGTCCAACGTCTTTAAATTCACCATCTTAGTTATCGTAGTTCGTCAATTTTTAGCCGTAATGCCAAGGATAATCTAAATGCACCGACGGACAGTAGATATATATTCATATAAAATGTTTGCTTATGGAAGTGATAAATTTATTCGAGTGTTGCTTGATACCTCTGAATTAGTTGAAGACTGTTGAAAGAGAAAATATTATCTTCATCACGTCCATTTATGATCAGAATTACCTTCATCTTTTACTTATTGAGCATCCATTTAGTGTTGAGAAAATATTCTGAACATTTTTCTGCAAACTTTAGGAGAGACAATAAGTGGAGATTGTCCCTCAGTTCTGAATCACTTCTATTCTTGTTTAGTTCAAACAAAGCATATGAACAAAGTCCAAGTATATACCAGCTGCAATAATATACGTTTACAACCTAAACAAATAAATTACAAATCACATCAGAATATTGGTTATGTCACTGATGAACTTTCAGTTGGCGTAAATCACCGAAGTGTTAAGAACTTGTAATCGGATAATAGGAAGAAACGGATACATTATATTTATGATTGTCAGGGTAAGCGAGGCTGTTGAGTGAAAGTCTAACCTGATATGCTTTTACTTATTATTATTTATTTAAACACATAAATATTGATACAAGGATCATTCGACTTATGTGAGGGATGGGATACTGCCCAGGTACCCGAACTGAAGCAGGTGGTTTCCTTAGGGGGCCACACCCCGAGTCTTCGACCTGAAGGTCTAATCCACAAGGCAGTGAAGCAACGTAAGGAGATGCAATCCCATAGTAGCCGGTGACTTGTAATAGGTTCATACACTATTTGCTCCTTTAGAATCCTGGAGCCTATGCACACCATTGGTTTGGAATCAGAGTTTTCCAACTCCTCTAGGTGGATCCTCCATATCCACCAACCCGGTTAAAGCGCCGGACATTTGCTTTTCGTCGTCTTCATTTTGTAAACCACAGTAATGCCGCAAGAAGACAGTGAGTAAGACTTCTCTTCTGTTGTTAGGATCATCATAAGAAAAATATATTGGCTTAAATTCTGCCCTGAAAAACATGTGTATTCAGAAACTCAGACCACCACTTCACATCTTACAATCAGTTCAGTTAAATGAATACTTACTTATTGTATTCGACAAGGTAGAAATATCGGAATCTAGCGGAGAAAGTTCTGTGTTGATAATATCTTCTTTGAAATCGGAATGTCCACTTGTCGGATTCAGTGTTTTTTCTATTGAATTAGTATTATCTGAATGTTGTTCTGTGACAGGAGAATTTGATCTACTTGATTTTGAAATACGTTGCCTTGATAGTTTACTTGGTCGACCTCGACCAAACTTAGAACACCTGTTTGCTCGACGTCCAGTAGATAGTCTCGGAATCTTCGGAGCTGCAGAATAACTAGAAAGGAGAAAAGATAAATACATTCACGTTGAACACTAGTGAATTAGTTTGTTTTGGAAAAATTATACAGAATATGCAACTTATTGGTAATAAAAGACAATGACTGTTAGTTATGTCCATAACTAACCAATCAAATCGTTGCTTAAGCTCCCACCACGTCAATCTGATTTGATATGTCTGTAAACTATCCCTGTTGCATGTGACTTACCAATTGAAAGACATTATTATCCTATTACATTAGTGTGACTCATAAATTTTATTCATTTTATTAAGACACGCAATACTGGTCGATATGTTTGTGCGTTTCACTTAATGACTGTAATTCTTTAATTATTGTACTAATCTAATTGTTTTTTATGTTTAGAAACAGATAAAGTTTAAAGCCAAGTTGTCCTTGTTCTGACTATAGCTTTCACATAGACTCTGGGATCGCCAGTATCGCGTTTACAGTTTTAATAGTATATCTGTAGGACAAAATAAATCCTACATAGATTCGACCAGTATCTCATCAAAATTTCACACATTTAGTATTGTTAAATGTCGATGGAGAATCATAAAACGGATCAAATTCCTGAATTGTCTCCCCACTACTCGGAAACTCATAATGATGATCAGTTTGGAGGAAATAGCTGTCGAATGGATCCCTTGTTAGAGTTAGCTAAAATACGCTTGGCTCAGACAGAAAGAGAAATTGAGTTAGAACAGTTACGTCAAAAAGGAAGAGAACATTATAATCAAGTTATGGCTGACAAGATGATGTATAAGTCTACATTTGCTTCATCTGCAGTTGATATTCCTCCTGGAAAACACTGGATAACTATGATATCTAGATCTTTAGACCTACTAAAGAGAGAGATTATAAGATTTGATGGTAATCCCATGAACTATTGGAGTTTCATACGGAATTTTGAAGACTGTTTTGACGAAAGAGTTGGATTCCGATCTAGGTTAAACTATTTGATTCAGTATTGTGATGGTGAAGCTAAGGCTACCATTGTTCACTGTGCATTGCTTGAGCCAGAAGAAGGCTATCGAAAGGCGTTAGAGCTTCTCGAGGAAGCATTTGGTCAGAAGCACATCGTGGCCCATGCATTTATTGATAAGATGCTGAATATCCCTGCTATTAAGGGGACTCATCCAGATGGTTTAAGAAGACTGTCTCGTGAGATGCATGTTTGTGAGCTCACACTTACGCAGATGGACTATGTATCCGATCTTAATTCTACAAAGACCATCGAGTGTATGTTCTTAAAACCCCCACTGCATTTACAGAGAGAATGGGTTAAAGTTGCATCTAGGATTCTTAAGACAGGTAGAGAGCCTTTATTCAAGAACCTTTGTGAATTTGTGAAGGAGCAATCAGACATTGCTAATACTAGGTATGGATTACTTGTCAGTGGTGATCTTTCTAACCGCAACCAAAGGCAATCGATTACCGTTACAAAAAAGCCCCTTGACTCAGAGTACAAAGCGAGAGTGTTGTTTGCTAACGCGAGTTTGTCTGATGTCTCCCCACACGTAGGACCAAGAACTCTTGGATTATCATGTTTATTATGTACTGGGAACCATCCATTGGACCAATGTGAAAGGTTTAGAGATAAGGATGTTAGTGAAAGAATAGAATTTGTATTAAGGAAGAAGTTATGTAATGTCTGTCTGAAGGCGAACCATATAGCAAGAAACTGTCGAGCACCAAGATCATGTACCGTCAAAGGATGTGGTTGAAGACACCATACCTTGTTACATAGGAAGCAGGGAGAACAGAGAGATAGTGATAGTGATGCTTGCATTAATACTCATTTCTGTACGTAGGGAAGTGTTAAGCGTATGCAGAGACCAATAGCATTTGCGGTAGTGCCTGTATGGATAAAAAATGGTGAGATTATTCAGACTTGCGCCTTTTTTTTAGATAGCGGATCAGATACCTCTTTCATTGTTGATGATCTGGCTGATGAGTTAGGCCTCGAGGGAAAACCGAAAATGGTGTCTTTAAAGACTCTTCGTAATGAATCCCCGAATTCGTCCCAACGTTGGACCCAATTAGATCACATCGCTATCAGCCACCGATGGAGGGGCTCGATAGAAGACTGTCGCTCATTCTGGGGCACATGTTTAGATTCAGATCATGCTCTAGTGCGAGCACGTATCTGTCTGCGTCTTACTGGTCGTAGGAAAGACACTGCAGGGAAGCCCCTAAGGGGTCTACTTAATGATAGGCAAGCTAAGAATATATTTCAGGAACAACCAGAAAAACAGTTAGGCAGCCATGTAAGTTGTGTCCACCCCGAAGCAGCGTGGAATGACATCCGAAAAGCTGTGGAAACAGCAGTGATATCCGCTAGTAAGATAAACCATAACGTTAGGGAGAAACAATGGATCTCAGCAGCATCTACCGCACTGATAGATGCTCGTAAACTCATCCCACCTGGCTCTGAACATAACGAAAAGCGGAGTCAACTTAAGCGCAGGCTTATAAGAAGCCTACGTAATGATCATGAACAGTGGTGGGTAGCGAAAGCAAGAGAGATGGAAAAGGCAGCGGCAATAGGTAACAGTAGGCAGCTATTCAGACTCGTTAAAGAAACCGGTATTAGGAACCCGAATATCAGTGAAACCATCTCAGATAAAGATGGGCATATTATTCATTCTCAATCCAGGAGATTGGATCGATGGGCAGAACACTTTAGGGATCAGTTCAACTGGCCTTCAGCCACACTTCAATTACCCACGATCCCCAGTCGTCCTGAATGGCAAATTGATGTAAGTCCTCCAACCCTCTGTGAGGTTGAAAAAGCTATAGGAAATCTGAAGCGAGGGAGAGCAGCAGGCCCTGACAGGTTGACCCCTGAGATTTTTAAGGATGGTGGTCCAGTACTAGCAGTGAGATTGACTGAGGTCTTAGGTAGAATCTGGGAACTGGACGTAATTCCATCTGACTGGTCTCAATCACTGATTGTGCCAGTCTATAAGAAAGGACAAAAGTCCTCTTGTGACAATCACAGAGGGATCAGTTTGACTAATATAGTGTCTAAAATATTAGCTTCAATAATACTAGGTCGCCTAACCAAAGCTCGTGAAGAGCAGACTAGAGAAAACCAAGCTGGTTTTCGACCTGGACGTGGTTGCATAGACCAGATATTCACCCTACGTCAGGTTCTAGAACATAGACACAAATTCAAACGTCCCACAATAGTAGTATTTCTTGACCTTAAGGCGGCATTTGACTCCGTTGATCGTGAGGTTCTATGGCAATGTTTGTCACTGAAAGGAGTACCAAAGAAGTACATTAACCTCATAAAGGCTCTCTACTCGAACACAACTGGTCGAGTTAGAGCCTATGGCGAACTGACATCAGAACTGATTACCACAAGTGGCGTTCGTCAGGGCTGTCCACTCTCCCCATTCTTGTTTAACTTTGTCATTGACATACTTTTAGAGATGGCACTTTCATCAGCTAAACCTCCAGGAGTTGAACTTTTACCAGGAGGCTCACTTGTTGACTTAGAATACGCCGACGACATAGTTTTACTCGGTGAAGACGCTGACAACATGCAGAGTCTTCTGACTACTATAAGCAACTATGCAGGCATGTTCGGAATGCGATTCTCTCCCTCGAAGTGCAAAATGTTACTTCAGGATTGGGTTGCAGCGACACCTGAACTATTGATAGGGAGTGAAGTAGTTGAGCGTGTAGACCACTTCACTTATCTTGGGAGTCTCATCAGCCCTTGTGGTCTGGTATGTGACGAAATCTCAGCACGGATACAGAAGGCTCGTCTAGCTTTCGCCAACTTGCGTCATTTATGGAGTAGGCGAGATATCCGTCTAGCAACCAAAGGACGGGTTTACTGTGCAGCAGTTCGCTCCGTCCTACTTTATGGCAGTGAAACATGGCCAATAAGAGTAGAGGATATTCGTAGACTACTAGTGTTCGATCATAGGTGTCTTCGAAGCATTGCTCGTATATCCTGGGACCACCGGGTAAGTAATGCAGTTGTTAGGAAACGAGTGCTAGGTAGGGATGGCAAATCGATTGATGAAGTAGTGAAACTTCATCAGTTGAGATGGCTAGGACATGTGTTACGTATGCCCGACCACCGACTGCCCCGACGTGCAATGTTTCATGGTGTAGGAGTAGGTTGGAAGAAAGCTAGGGGTGGCCAGACCAAAACGTGGCACAAATCAATGAAGTCACTGACAAGTGGACTGGGCCATGTTGGTAGGTGTAGACTACCTGGTTGGGATTCGCGAGATGATAGCAACCGATGGTTAGAGACCTTGAATGACATGGCTCAAAATCGTTTGCAATGGCGAAGGTGCATCCACTCTTTGTGTTCTACCAAATTCTAATCTGAATTCTTCATGTCTGTATCCTTTTTCTCTATCCAAATTTATTTCACTGTACTATACTCCTTCGATAATTTCTTCAAACCCTAATCTTTTGGATTTCTGATTATACTCCTACTACTTCGACCACTATGGGAATTGAATCGACAACTGCATCTCTGTGCTAATGTGGTATGGCAACTCGAACTGATGTACGTACGTACGAAGTTCTACGTTGTGACTGACTGACTGACTTCGTAATGAATCGTCATTGATATTCAAAAAGGTCGATGTGGAGTTGCACTCGATAGATTGTTCATCATCTGTTAAGGTGCTGAAAGTGTTGACTGTTAAAAAACCACCGGCGGTTTACAGGACTGTGCCAACGGTGCATCAAATGGTATCTTGGTCTCATTTAAAAGACACAAGTTTTCCGAGAGTAGAAGACGAGAATGTCAAACTGTTGATTGGATGTAACACACCGGGCGTACACGAGATAAAAGAGAAGAGAATGGGAAAATCTAATGAACCATACGCTATAAAAACTGCTTTAGGGTGGACGTTGTTTGGACCTTACAGTGAGACCACGAGCAATGTGAGTATCATAAATCATTTATCGTCTAAAGATGGACCAGAAACCTGTAAAGTGAAAGTACACTTGTCTGGTGCGATCTCATGGCCAAGTTGCGCAACGTTTGCTCTACAAAGGACTATCCTAGGTAAAGAGGCTAGATTTCCTGAATGCATTATACAGACAGCGAAGGAAAAGTTCTACGTTGATGATTTATTAACCAGTGTTGATACGTTAGAAGATCCTAAGTTAGTATATTCTCGGCTGAAAGAAATGTTACGTTTAGGGAGTTCTAATCTAGCCACGTGGGCCAGCAACAATGTTGAATTAATAAAGTTTATTTCAGAGGGAGACCATATAGACAGGAACGTAGATATTTGTTTATCTGTGGGAGAAAATGAAAGGATTCTAGGAAAAGAGTGGAATGTTCGAACGGATAAGATTTTCAGGATGTGCAAGTTGGATGTGACTCCTGCAAGGAAAACCATTTTGTCGTATGTAGCATCTATATGCGACCCAGATGGGTTTATAGCTCCAATCGTTTTACCAGCTAAATTAATTTCGCAAGATGCTTGTCGGCTAAATATTTCATGCGACGAACTTCCTAGAGAGTGCTCTGTAAGATGGAACTGTATGCTCAGAGGTATGAAGCGCTTAAGTAAACTTCAAGTTCAAGGTAAACGTCAAGTTCATCGTTCCTTTTTATTAGCCAAGTCCAGGGTTGCTAAGCCAAAAATAAGAGCACCATGTGATCATAATCCCAAAACAACTCTAAGAAAGCCTAAGAAAAGGAAGGTCACCAAGCCGAAAGTGAAGACACCGAAAAAGCCAAAGGTCACTTTAACAAAGAAGTCAGTAAATAAGACCGTGAAGAAGCAGACAGCACATATTCGCCGTGGTATTGTACATGGTGTTGGGAAAGACGTCTTTGTGCGAGTTGTGAGTAAGAGTAAGGATGGTTCTGATAAATTTAAAAATGCCAATGCTAATCGTAGACAGATTATGTGTAGTTGGAACCAGAATAAGATAGCAAATGCTCTTTTAGAAAGAGGTTGTGAATGGCGTTTTAAACTTCCTAGAGCTAGTCATCGAGGCAGTGTATGGGGACGCAATATAAAGTCGATAAGAAGGATTCTACAATCACTACTGTTTCAAAAGGTATTGACGGACGAGTCTTTGGAGATGTTTTTAATAGAGATTGAAGGGATAATGAACAATCGACCATTCGTAAAGCTAGTTAACGACTGTGATGACCTGGATGTACTTACGCCAAATAAGTTATTGTTAGTTTACAGAGGTGTATCATTCGACGAAGCGCAGATGAGTAAAACGTGCTTATATAACGGGAGATGGAAGGAAGCTCAACAACTAGCCAACCTATTCTGGAACAGACGGTTACAGGAGTACCTACCAACCCTTCAGACGAGATCAAAGTGGTTGGACATGAGGAGGAATTTACAACCAGGAGATTTAGTGTTAGTAAACAATATTGGCTCACCGAGGAATCTGTGGCCGAAAGCTATAGTTAGACGGGTCAATTATGGTCCAAATGGACGAGTCAGAACAGTTCGACTGAAGACATCAACTGAAGAGATCAGCCGGGATATACGGAACCTGTCTCTTTGGAGAAGCCGATTATATAGACGCGACAGTAATGAAGCCTGGACGTGGTGTCCGCTTGGGGGGATGTTAGTTATGTCCATAACTAACCAATCAAATCGTTGCTTAAGCTCCCACCACGTCAATCTGATTTGATATGTCTGTAAACTATCCCTGTTGCATGTGACTTACCAATTGAAAGACATTATTATCCTATTACATTAGTGTGACTCATAAATTTTATTCATTTTATTAAGACACGCAATACTGGTCGATATGTTTGTGCGTTTCACTTAATGACTGTAATTCTTTAATTATTGTACTAATCTAATTGTTTTTTATGTTTAGAAACAGATAAAGTTTAAAGCCAAGTTGTCCTTGTTCTGACTATAGCTTTCACATAGACTCTGGGATCGCCAGTATCGCGTTTACAGTTTTAATAGTATATCTGTAGGACAAAATAAATCCTACAATGACTTCAAACAGCAGCAACATCATTTGATTTCAGTAACAATAACATTAATGGAAATGTAGGTGTCATTACCAAGACTTGATTTGATAATTTTGAATAAATTGAGCATTGGGTAGATTGTTATAAATAAATTATATATTTGTAATATCCCAATGAGTAGAAAAATTAGATTTTCTGACGTTTCGTGACTCAGTGTAAGCCACTTCTTCAGATATTACAAATATATAATTTATTTATTAATGGAAATGGCAACAAGCCTAATCTCATTTTACATTATTGGATAAAATACAGTAAATCATTGTTAGGAAAGTTAAAGAAAACTAGGTCAAAATCAAAATAACCTGTGGAAAGTAGTAGACTATAGCTTGAAAACTAAGTATTATTAGGATGAATGCAAATTGAATGTGAGTTTTATCCCGTAAGTAGCAATAATTTAAACTCCGAAATTATGTTAGTAAAATTAAAAAACTAAACTTTTTAAAAAAATAGGGATATAATGTCAGTCATCTAGTAGGTCAGAAAATTTCAAAAGCTAGCCCTGAAGTATGATTATGTGCGTATTTCCACGGATTTAATACAACAATAATAGTAGACAGCTTAGAATACTGAGTTTTTGGAAGGCTTTATCCTACTAACTGCTAAAGTTGGGTTAGATTTTAAAAATCAAAAGGAAATAATTATCTGCACAAAAGTGTATGAAGGACTGCACAAAGTACTCTGTACTTCATAATATAAATGAACGTTTATCATTTCATTATTCAGTTCACCTGAGTGAATTATGAGTTGAAAAAAAGGTTTTAATATCTGATATTATGAATTTTTAACAACTGGACTCACGCAAGTGAGGAAGCTTGCCGTTTATACCGTGAATCTATCCCAATAGGCTGTTTAACAAACAACGGTGTACGTGATGAATTCGCTGCTCGTCTAATATGCGTCCAAGATGGTGTGGAACTAGGATCAAAACGACTTGGAGTATAGACGATTCGTTTCGGTTGCTGTGTCGATGGAGTAGCCTAAAAACAAGTAGAAAAATGAAATCATAGTGTAACAACGGTAATTTAGAGTGATAAAGGTTCACTTGTTTATTGGTTTTAGAAAGACCATATAAATGTTCCTGAAAGACTGTTTTTAAGTTACGATATATTTTTGAGTTGAATAAACGCTACGTGACGAACAAGTAAGATTTAATTGCTTGATTGCCACCATAAACTAAAACTAATGTGAAATTCTTTCAAATACGTGCGACTATAGTTCGACACTTCCTAATACTTTATACAGAGGTTGAACACATTCTAACAAGCAAAAACTTATGTAAAATTATCACCAGCAACTGACTGTTGGACAATTTACGAATATACAATCGATTAAAACTTCGAATATAAAATGTCAAATTAGATAATCAAGTCGAAATGTAATCTACAAGTCATGTGATAAAATTCGTTATTCATGAATTATTACGACGATTTTTGTGTATATTTCAAAGTTAACGGATATTCTCTAATACGCCTTCATTAGTGTTAATCACTGAATTGTTAATAACAACTTGATTTACTTTCTCCCTAAAGATCAAAATAAGGATATCATATCCGAAATAATGCTGCTTGTAACAAATCTTTCAGAGGAAAATTTTGGATTTAGAATAGCTTCTGGTGGTCGGATAAAACGAACTGGAATAAGATTAAGAGTGTTTGAACATAGAAAATCATTATGTGATGCAAACCGTTTGTTGAAAAGATAAATATTCAAACAGTTATCGTAGACAAAATCTAGATCTTAGTAACTTATTTGTTTTGAATTGCCAACTTACCTCTTCTTCATCAATTTTATTCGAATCCATGCAGATTCTCGAAACAAAGTTAATGAACCCTAAAATGTAAACCTAATGCATTCAAAGGTCTTTAATAGATATGATGGGAAAATAAATAAGCATGAGAACTAATCACTCGCCTCAGCACTATGATACTCACGACGTGAAAAAAATATGCAGAAAAGTTAGGCTAATTTTATCACAAAACCATTATTAAACCGCCATTATTTCTTAAACTCTGTACTTGATACCATTAACTGACATAGAATTTCGAGCGTTAATGCACTCGACTCTCAACTGTTAGACAGTTGGTTCAAACCTCGCTACACCTATTTTGGTTTGGTAATTTGGGTAGAAGTATGTCTAGCCCTATACAATAAGTATATCTCTAAGACAATTACACAAACATGTACTTGGTAACTGAATTACACTGTGTTTATTACAAAGCTTAACGTCACAACCGAATATGACAGATATTAACTAGTTCAATGGGGTTAGTTCATAGTTGAAATCATGAGTCAATTGAACCTAAAACACCATGGAAAATCTAGAAGCACTGGACGACCGTTTCGTCCTATTATGGGACTCCTCAGCAGTGCGCATCCACAATCCCGCACTCGCGAGATTCAAACCCAGGACCCATCAGTCTCGCGCCAGAGCACTTAACCGATAGTTAGTTCATTCAAGTAAAATCCTAAAAAAAATATAACTCATAAAAGTGGAATAGTATTTGACGAAAATGAAGTTATTTGAAGTGAAAGTGAACTAATTTCAAAGTATGAGTTTTTTTAATTGCGTCACATCGACATGCTCCCATGTATTATGAATATGATACCTAAAGGCCAATAATTTTAACAGCAAACATGAATTCGAATGTACATGCTTAATTTGTTAATAGAGGGCATTTATACACTAATATAAGTTTTAGTTGTCAAACAATGGATAAAAAACTTTCGATTCCGCACATACCTATTATGTTCCCTATTTCCTTTCTACGCTGCACAAATTAAAAATTGCTAGAAATCAATGTATATTAAAAATTCAAAACTCCAATTAATGAACCTGTAAGAGTATTCTTATTTTCCGAACACAAGTTCATGTCAAGCAGTTACAAAATAAACTATGGAAAACTGCATTCCAGTGAAATCAAAAGTAAATGAGTAATCAACGTATAAAAAAATTGGTATACCGTCTTGTAATCAGTGACGAGTTGACAACTCGAAAAAAACGTGACAAAATTCACAGAAATACATTATATATTCGAAGCCAACATTTCAAAATAATTCAAAGGTCACCAATGAATGAGCAGTAACTTACTTGTAGAGCAGCTGCCCATTGTGCATCGCTAGCACCACACTGTTTTGCAGGTGATGATGGAGACTTATACGGATTTTTGTTATCTTCTGGCGTTGAGTCGTATGCAAGTTCTCTTTTTGAGATAGATGAAAAGTAACTATTTGTCGAACCCACATAATTGTCCGGAATTGGTGACTCCGACAAAACATCAGAGGCTTTCCATGGAGGACAATGCTCCACCAAGCACTTAGTTAGAGGATCAACTGAAACACATGTCATACGATATGTAGATCTGCTGGCCCATTCAGGAAGTGTACGAGCAACAGTTGTTACAGAAGTACTGGTTGCACCAGTAAGACAATTGGAACTAGTAGATACCGTGTTGGGTGAGGAAGGAGATAAGCAAGTATTGAAAGTAAATTCTTTGATGCTTGGTTCTGCCTGAGATGTTTGACTCCCTATGAAATATTCTGGAAGTATTTTTAATACTTACCAAAGTCCTCGCGATAATTTAGAGGCAAATGGCGAGGGATGAAGGGTGGACGCTCTTCTAATTCAGGATGATCTTCAGGTGGGATATTTAAACATGACTTTCCGTAAACCGGCCCACATGTCATAGTAGGCGCTCGAGTAAAAAACTGATTGTTCTCTATGACAAACTTGGCAAAGCCCTGCGGCGTTTGACCCATCAAACGCAAAGCTAGAAGTCCATCTGCAACCCGCGCATAATCGTCTGGAAAAATATCAACGGAAAATATGGATACCTGAGGCCGTAATAGTATATACATTCCTTACTAATGAGAGGAAATACGCTTCCACAACGCTAATTAACAACTCAAGTGAGGCTTCCGTGATTTGTTCGAAGCCAACTTGACCACAGAGCTGAGCGATTACCTGAATCATCGCACTTCTGAAGTCACTTGACATTGCAGAAGAAAAACTGAAATAAAAATTTAAAAATATAGCGAGTTTTATGCATAATTAAAATTCTTGGTATGATTTTATGACTAAGAAAAAGAAAAAGAATTCGGATCGCTTATCATAAATCAATTTTATCATTGCCCTATACAGGCTGAAACAAAAGATAATATTTGACTAGATAGTGTCGAGATACTGAAGTGGATACAGTAACACATTTATTTATTATTTATTTGAACAAATAAATATTGGCACAAGGAGGCACCAAATAGATATGCACCACATAAATCACTCGATTTATGTGAGGGATGGGATACTGCCCAGGTACCCGAACTGAAGCAGGTGGTTTCCTTAGGGGGCCACACCCCGGGTCTTCGACCTGAAGGTCTAATCCACAAGGCAGTGAAGCAACGTAAAGAGATGCAATCCCATAATAGCCGGTGACTTGTAATAGGTTCATACACTATTTGCTCCTTTAGAATCCTGGAGCCTATGCACACCATTGGTTTGGAATCAGAGTTTTCCAACTCCTCTAGGTGGATCCTCCATATCCACCAACCCGGTTAAAGCGCCGGACATTTGCTTTTCGTCCTCTTAATTTTGTAAACCACAGTAATGCCACAAGAAGACAGTAGGATTTTCCTGGCAGTCGTTATATACACGTGTCCATGCGAGAGCATTTCGAGAGGGAGAGCTGACTCACCTCCCCCTCGGCCGTACCAGGGCATTTGGGGGCACAGTTATACAGCCATGTACAAGGCTTTATGGTAGACTGTAAACTATACCTATTTAGTAGGGTTTTAATTCGCTTCAGATGATCAAATTGTGGTAAATGGAATAAGATTACGAATCATAACCCAGACACGTTCAACTCACGGAATTACAAACTTATCAATTACACGATTAGTGTACATGCTCATGTACGAGTTTAGTTGAATAATATTATGCGTTTTAGTGCACGTGTTTTTTTCATAAGAGATGTGCCCGACAAGATCATCAGTAGTGGGAAGTAAAACATCGATCCAAGTTGTTACACCCAATCGGTACTGATATATGAATGTCAACGTAAATCCAATAGTAGGGATAGTAACACTATTAGTGGTAACATAAAAGAATAGGGATGGAAGATATGATTCAAGAAAATATGGATTAGTGAGATAAAAATGAAATCTCTTATGCCGTAATATAAAAGCTTAGGAAAAAGAAAGCAGTTGAGGGAATGCACTTGCACTACTGTGAACGATTCTAAGATGTAGCTTCCCAAGTCTGTTTGTAATGGTAATCATACGTACCTCGAATAGGTAGTTTGCACCTAGATACATGGTTTAGTCCCGAGTGTAGCTGCTATGACGTGGTGGTTGGGCTTGCCTATCGTGATGACAAAACTGAGCTATATTGGCTGTAAAACATGTTCTTTTAGGTTATATCATGACAGATCGGTTGAACAGTAAGACTAAAAGCAGTAACTAAAGGTTCTAGGACGAAGTCGTACTGCTGGCTGTGCAGGACTGTGATATCAGTAAAGTGTTTTCCTAAGACAACCAGCATCTGGCTTCTTATGAAGGAAGAGGTTTGAAAAGGCCGACCCTATCGCACCCCACCTTATACCAGGGACTTACATCTCCAGCCGTAAATCATTTAAAAGTGTGGTGCTAACATATAGAAACATCCCATATAAAATTCATGTGCAACCGAACTCAAGTAATTGCCCCTTGGGCTCTGCAGACACAACCATAGGTCACTAAGACAACCATGAACCTAGCTTTCTTCCCAGGTCACTAAAGAAAAATATCCTTTTATGATATGGGCAGTTAGGAAGTGACAACCGCCTCCATACCTTCAACAGTACCAGGGATCATCTCGTTCATCATCAAATACATCGGAAGACAGACACCAAATTCAATGATGATAGTGTGACGAGATAATTTTTGGTTAAAGATAAAGGTGATTGGGCGCTCAACTTTTAAATGTCTAGTTAACGGAAGAGCTGTATTATATAGCGTGTTGGAACTTCATCTGTTTTGTATGTTTGAGCATTCTCCTTCAGCTAGTGTATCCAGTAAAAGTAACAAGGTTAACACAAGTGCAAGAAGCTTTTAAAAACTATTACTGTTTGTAAAATTTACCCCCACCGACACATTATTGCAACGTGGACCACGTAGTCAAAAAAGGCAAAGTATACAGTCATCTTCATTATCTGTCTTACAGGATAATAAAAAGATAATATATATTGTGACAGTTCAACGTTATAATAAAGAAGTCTAGAAAATATTTCCGGAACAACGAGAGTAGTTAAAATATCAGGATATATTATCTGAACATCTGTGGAAACAGTAGTGATGTCTACCAATCAGCTCGCCTAGCTTCAAATACTATAAGGATTGGAGGTAGCTTAAAAGTTTATCCCATGATCATGAGTAGTGGTGGGTAGAAAAGGCAACGGCGATAGGCTATAGTAGACAACTAGTTAAACTTATCAAGGAAAAACATATTACGCATCCAACTGTTGGTGAAACTATTTAGGAAAAAAGGATCATTATTTCCTCCCAACTCGAGACCCAGTCGATCGGTAGAACATTCAAGGGAACAGTCCAACTGGCTTTCAGTCACACTTTAATTAATCACTATCTCGAAGCAATGAATGATGAGTCTTCCAATTCTCAGTGAGGTTGAAAATCCTATAGGCAATCTAAAGCAAGAAAGAGCAGCATGCTCTAGTGGACTAGCCCACGAGAGCTTCAAGTATGGTAAATCAGTGTTATCAGTCAAATTGACTGAGATCTTAGTTAGAATTCTGGAGCTAGACGTAATCCCATTTGACTGGTTTTAATTGCAGATCGTCCCAACAATCACAGATGGATCAATTCAACTAAGTGTCCAAAATATTGGTGTTAATCATACTTCGACGTCTGACTAGAACTAGTGAAGATCGAACACCAGAAAAACAGGCTGGTTTGGCAGGTTCTACAACATTGACATACTTTTTGACGTCCAACAATAATTGTGTTCCTTGATCTTAAGGCTACTTCCGACCATGTTAATTGTGGCGTTCTGATGCAGTGTCGTCATCGGAAGGCCTACCAAAGAAGTACACCGACATTGTACAAGCTTTTTACTCGGACACTAGTAGTCGAAACTGTTATGACTTGACCCAGCCGTCGCCAATTTGTTATGTTTTTGACCTAGGCTGTAGCCAATTGTTATGACTTGATCAAGGTCGCCATTGATTCGTTATGACCTTACGAATTTAACAAGGACGTAATTCGCGTAAATTATCCACTAATAGAGTACGCCTTCTACGACCTTCACACTGTGACAATGACGTTCGACTAGTATGAGTAATCTAGCATCCTTATTGATCCCTATCCGCCTAACCCGTCCACTTGCCCGACCGTTGCTGCTACCTTGACGTGGTGGTCGGACTTGCCTATCGTGATGATCCAATCGAGCTACACTGGCTGGAACAGTCGTTCCTCAAGGTCCTACCATGCCAGACAGGTCGGTTGAAGAGTGGTAAGACTAAAAGCAGTAAACCCAAGGTCCGAAAGTAAAGTCGTACTGCTGACTGTACAGGAATGTGACGGCAGTAAGGTGTTTCCTTTAGACAACCACCATAATAGCGATACTGCCTTCTCACAAGAAGGGGTGGGGTTAGAATAGGTCGACCCTAAAAATGCACTCCTCGCCTTATCCCACGAATATCCGTCTACGGTGGTAAAATCCTTTGAAGAACGGAGCTAACACGTCAAAAATCCACAAATAGGCCGTGCGTGATCGGCCTCAAGCAGTTATTCCTCGGACACTGCGGTAACGCTCCCAGGTTGTTAAGACCAACACTAATCTAACTTCCTTTTCAGACCCTTCAAGAAATACCCTTCCACGGTGTGAGCAGCCGGGAAATGATATCAGCACTCATACCCGTAATTGCACACGAGACCAAGTTGGTTACATTCAAATCCTTCCTACACCTAATAACTCTCTTATTTCGACGACTAACCCTTCCCACGTCCTTTTATCACCTCGCACCGCTAGGGAAAACGAACGATTCGAGTACACAGAACGTTACTCCTGGTCTCCTGAAACCACGCTCTAAACTACATGTAGGAACTTTTAATGTCCGAACATTGTGCCAAATAGGACAACAGGCCTCCTTAGCTAATACTTTAGAATCTCGCACCATCGATGTGTGTTGCGTCACTGAAACGCGCATACAAGATCCGAGTAGTGTTATTCATTTGACCGCACCTAATCAAAATAAAGTTTCATCTCGATACACGCTTCGTGTATCTGGAAGCCCTGATGCTGCTTCCCGTAGCCTCGCTGGAGTAGGTATAGCATTAAGTCCTAGGGCAGAACTAGCTCTTTTAGACTGGATCCCAGTAGACAGTCGTCTATGCGTTGTCGAACTAAACGGATCAGTAAGGACCCGGAAAGATAGGGAAACTCGTCGTTGCCTCTTCGTCGTCTCTGCCTACTCTCCCACTGACTGAACCCGTCCACTTGAGTCCAAAACACCAATGGCAGCCTCGGCAATACGAACCGTTTATTTCAAACATACTTTGTCTATATACCCGACAGGCAGACCACACCACACCATAAAATAATATTTGTACAAAATCAAGCCAAACGTGGCTGGAAGCGTGGGAGACAGTACTCAATAAACCGAGTATAATTTAGGAACAATAAATCATATAATAATAATCAATAGGTCAAAATGAAGCTAGTAATAAGATGAATATAGACATAGATAATCCAGTTACTGAATAGTTATACAATAAAAATGATAGTCTAATAGTAGGTCCTGCAAGTTACCCGTACTTATGTCTTTACTACTACATAACAGAAACAAAGCTTCCGGAAAACTTTCGTCGGAATTGATTTCTTCAAGTGGTGTTTGTCAGGGTCGTCTGCCTCCCCCAATTTTACATAACTTCGTCACGGGTATCTGTTTAGCAACAACAATCATCGTCTGACTTTCAGAGTTTGATCTATTAGGAGATCCACCTTTTGTTTAACAATACA